CTGTGTGGAGGGAGAAGAAAGGTTGGGTGATCCTTTCACCCTTCAGGACCTGTAAGGAGGAGTCCTATGCAACACCACTGTTCAGACTCCTGCAGGAAGGGAAGATGAATGCACTTGAAGATTCTACTTGGGCTAGAAACCATCTCTTGTTTAAAGCAAGGCTAGCAAGGAAGGCTGGAAGGCTTGTGAGCAACTTGATGTGTGGGCTGTCCTGCCCCATGCGTGGCTGCTGTGTTGTTCCTGCATGCCCCTCTGTGCTTGGGGCTTGGTTGCAGTTTCTGGGTGGTAGAATAGGTCATTTTGGGTACAACTCTGTTTACCCAAAGAAAATAATTCCAGTCTTTTAAATTCTCTTTGACCATCAGTTTTTTGAATCCTTTGCCCATGTCTTCATTTACCTCTTGATTGTTACGTTCTTGATCCTTGTCTGTGGGGAGGAACATATAGATTTTCAAAAAAATAAATGTTTTCTGTTAGAAAAGTGGGGGAAGGTGTTTTTGTTATGCTATTATTGTTTTTTTCTTCCTCTACCACTTTTAAAGTCACTTTTATCACCTGGTAGTCAGGAGGTACCTTGCGTGACCAAGAATGAAAATGGTCCTGGCTCTTCACATTCCGTGCTCTGAATTCCTGCTGGGAAAGGATTGCCAGATTGCAGTTTGAACAGCTGATGATCTGGGGGACACAAGAGCAAGTCAGAGAAACAGTCACTGAACAAACATAGTCTCATACTCAGGTGTCTGAGTGTTTTGTTTTACTGTTGCCTCTGCTAGATGACAAAGGCCACGTGGAATGTACATGCATTTGTCTGTAGGTCCTTTTGGATGCAAGCCCATCATGTGTGTGCTTCTGATAAATTTTGTTCTTGCTCAACTGCAGCTCTGATGATACCGGTCTCTTGTTTCACCCTTGGCCTGCCCTTTCACCCTTGTAGCACAGCTGATAAGGAGATCCTAATGGAAAATCTTCTGGCACACTTCTGATGCAGAAGTGATTCAGGTGGTCTCCAGGGGAAATTATTTTAATTCGGATCTGTATGCAGAATGTGCCACAGTAGTGTGGTTGTTGGACGGTCTCCGTCCACAAAACCTCCAGAGTTTGCTGGAGAGGAGGGAGAAACATTGGTAGTATGAATTGGAAGATGCCCATAGTAAATTTGCTTGCCTTGGTTGCTCTTTTTGCAAACACACTGTGATTGTGGACCATGAGTTGAAATTCCTGTTGTGTGACCGTGCAGTACTTAAATCTTAGTTTGACAGTTGTTTTCCGTGGTGAGATGAAGGATGTTGGTGCCTGCAGTTCCCTTAGTGCTGATAAAGATAGCACACTCAGGAGAAGCTGTCACGAGAGGAGCCCCAGCTCCTTCTTGCTGGCCAGATACTCTTACTGTCTGCCCAAATGCAAAATGTGCTTGCTCTGAGTGCATGTAGGACCTTTGTCCAGGTGTAAATCACCAGGAAAACTTCGTTTGTTGTCACACTCAGGGGAAAGACTTTCTTCCTTCGGATTCAGGCATGTCTGGAGAGAGACTGTAGTTTCCACATCCGCTTCAGAAACCTGCATGATGCAAAAACTACTTCAGATTTTGCCTGTGTTTTTGGACAAAACCCAGAAGTTGGGCAAAAGCCTTTGGTGAATGGAGAAAATGTGATGTCAGTGCAGTTTGGGTGTTTGGTTTTTTTTTTTTTTTTTATGTTGGGTTGACTTGGGGTTGGGTGTTTTGGGTTGGTGTGGGGGTTTTGTTGCTGTTGCTGTTTTGGGTTTTTTAGACATTACTTTAATTGTTCCTGGAAATCCATTTATGATATTCTTCAATGTCTTCAGTTTGCAGCTGCTTATTCTCTAACTCACGTGTATTTTCCAGCTAAGATGGACTGAGTTTCCTGGTGAAAAGTATGTTGATGCTGCTTTTGCCTGAGCATGCCAAAAGCTTCGTGTGCAGGGCATTTATTTCCTAAAATAGCTTTTCTGCAGAGCAAGAGCAGTTTAATTTAACTAAATTGCTCACTAAAGACTTAACTGATAATTTTACCGTGTCTGTACTTCAGCACATTGGATTTATCAGAAGAGAAGCTGTTTGTTGATGGATAGAGGCTTTGCCCTGGTTGCATTTTAAGTAGACATTTCCCTGGAGATGAGGTGTAAATGTCACCTTGCCGATTAGCATTTGGCGAGGGGTACCTGAGCAAAAGAAGGGATGTGTCAGTTCAGTCTCCAAAAAGAGAGACTAAAATCATTCCTGAGCTCTGACAGCATTACTCGGACAATGTCGTCTTCAGCATTTTCTGTTCCAGCTTGCAGCTGGGTCATGCTAAGTGCTTTTGCAACCCAGACATCTGAAGATTCTATGTTTTGATGTGCTCTGGTTGTGCCTAGAGGAGTTCAGACCTGACTCCGGTGCCTTTCTAAACAAGTGTTTCTTTCTGTAGGACTGAAATCCTGGCGTATGTAGAAGTCCCCGAGGAGAGATCTGTTGGGCTGCAGCAGGATCCGGGCCCCAGGCAGGACAGCTTTCCTGAAAGCCCCAGCCTTCCTGGTTGCTTCCCTGTGTTCCCATTCTCAGTGGGAAGGTGGTGATGGCAGAGCCTCCTCTCAAGCGTGAGGCAAGGAAACTGCAAGGCTGTGTTAACTCTGAGCAACCAGCCGAATGAGACAAAAAGACACACGTTTGTCCATGAAGAGAGCTGAATTATAGCCTGACTGCTCAGCAAATAATGTCAGCTACCCTTCAGTGACCTCTCCTCCCCTTCCCTTCCACAAGCCTGTTCCAGTGATGGAAATAGGTGGTAGGTGCTAATGTGGAAAGTTGTTGTTTATTTGAGAGTAGAGAGCTGTGATCAGCTGTGATTAGCCCTGATATACAAACCACTATACAAGCAAAATGTTGTATAGTGGTTTGTATGTTTGTTTTGGTTTTGTTTTGTTTGTTTTTCCCCAAAGTTGTGGGGTTTGTGTGTGTATTTAGCTGACCTTACAGCGTTTCACAGTGGATTACCTTGCAGACCCTGGCACTAGAGTACATCTGCTAGGCCCTTCTCAAAGACTGCAGTTGTAGGCACTTCATGTTGCCTGTTATTGCTTGTGCACTCAAGACCTTTTCCTCCTCCTCCTCCTCTATTTGCTGTTCTCCATGGGGCAGAGGTGTGTCAGTCTAAGGCTGTGGTACTCACTAATATTCTTCTAAAGCCTTAGTTTTGTACTGTTTTCTCTGCCTGTCCTTTGCTGTTCTGCTTTCCTTAATACTTTAGGAAACTGGGCTTGAAGTATGGAAATGTCACTGAAAGCCTTGCTGGCTTTCTTCACCTCTTCATTGTCAGTTTTGCCATGGGAAGTATTAAAATCTGTTGAACCTTTCGACCCGGGCTAGTTGCAGCCAGAGCTGGTAGGCAGTGTCTTACTAATATATTTTTTTTCCCTTCTTGGAAAATGGCACTTCCTCTAGTTTGTGAAAAAAAGCGCATTGGTTTTGATGGTAGATATTTCTCAAGTCTGGAATATGGTTCCTGGGTGAGAGGAGACAGGCAGGTACTTGGAGGCAGGTTTTGGACGAATGGGAGGATAGCCTCTTCCCTGGAAGTACCCTAGTAATCATGCCAAAAATTTACCCGGGGGAGGGGGAGGCATTGGAGTGTTTCCTTTTTCACAGTGCTGGAAGGCTGTTCCTGAGAGTCTTGGCTTTGGCCTAGGACTACAAAAGCTGTTGAGATAGTAAAGATTTTGGTGTATGATTAAACTGTTTCTACCCCAGTTCTATCTGTACACTTGTATTTCTTGTAGAAATGCTTCAAAAAGACATCTTCAGGCTCTCTGATAGTTTCAACTGGCTGACAGTGTTCTAACCCTCTTAGCACTAGTGTGGAGCAGGTTCAGTGTGTCAGCTCCTAAAATTGCCAAATGGGAGATAAATAATTTTATGCCTTTTGGAAAAATGGATCTCTGCTTTCAGGTACGGGCAGTATCTCCTGATACTGAGAACTGGTTGCTCGCTGATGTGCAACGTTGTTCCTGCTCGAGACTTCGCTGCTGGAAAGCAAATGAAGTTGTGTTGCCTGAAGGGGTTACATGCATTCTAGTTTTTGATTGCAATGATAGTTGAGGGCCTCAGTGTTTCTGCCCATAAAATGTTAATCATTAGAAGCTCAGATTTATGTATACATATATGCATGCATATATATATATACACATTCTTACATATGAGTGTGTATGCCGTAATTGTTCTGAGGCAGTAAAGTATATTTTGAGAAAAATTACTGAACTAGCTCCTGTGTGGTCTTTTTGATTTTTTTTTTTTGTTGGTTTGGGGTTTTTTGTAGCTTATTCTTCCCAGTAAGAACACTTAGCAGAAAATAGAAATAAAGTACTGGGGCAATTGTTCCAAACTTCACTCCGTACTTGTAGAGGATGATGCTGCAGATAAGAAACTTCATAATATTTTATAACTTGAAGATTTGCTTTCCAGGGTAGTGAGAGGTATGAATCCTTTGAGCTGGCCAAGGTGGAATGTCTGCTCCAGTCTGTACGTGAGATCGTGTGTAACTTTCAGTCTCGTTACACATAGTTCCTCAAAATATGTGAAAATCTAACTGAACAAAATCTTGCTGATAGTGATTTAAATGGGGACTGCACTCAGGCTACTTTTTGGAGACAAACACCTGATGTGTATTTCTAGAGATCCTGAAGTCTGTTAAATCAGCAGAAAAAAGCGCTCTTGTTACAGAGTGTTTTAAAATGTAACCAGTGAGACGTTTCTGTTCCCTTTTTCTAAGCTGCCTATCATCAGCTGACAGTTTGGTTATTTCTGCTTCTCTGAAAAGAACTGAGGCCACATAAACTGTTTAAAGTTAGTTTTGTTTAAAGAGTAAATAATCAGCCTTCCAAAAGCACCAAGCACATCGTTCATTGTGAAAATTGCTTTATAAAATTCCTGCTGTATTCAGGTCTGTCTTTCTCTCTTTTTTCTTTTCTTTTTTTTTTTTTTTTTTTTTTGTTCTTCTGTACAGACGATACGGATTATGGTTTCGATTGCGGAAGTTAATAATCTGGTTGCTGGGAGTGTACATAGCCATTCCATTTCTAGTAAAACTTTGCCCTGCTATTCAGGCAAAGCTGGTCTTCCTAAACTTTGGTAAGTGACTCAGTCTCTTGGGATGGGTGAGGGGTGAAGGGGAAGGATGTCTTTATCTTTCATTTGTCTGCCTTTACTTTCACCCTGCATGTGTACAGCTTGTGAAGGATATGAACTTTCCCAAGCTGTAAGTTCTCCAAACTATGATTTGGAAAGCATTCTCTGAAGCCAACTTTTGGCCGAAAGGGTGTCCTTCAGGCAAACTACAGTGTGTTGAATGCATTGTTCTGAAGGGTTCAACAAAGTTGCATGAATAGACAGCAAGTAAGTGAAATTAAATCCTGTGAATTGTTTTCCAGGCAGTGACTCTTCACCTGAAAGCATTTTTAGGAGAATATTCTGGTCGGGACAGAAGAGGCCTGTTCATGAGTCAGATTGAATGTTTTCCTTGTGTCTGCTTAGCTTTTGCATTTGGTCAAACAGCAATACTGTGGATCTGATGAGCTGGCTCAGTTCCCAGGTTGCCCAGGCAGGCCTGAGCATCCACAGGATGGAAAAAGACAGAGCATCACTGTATGCGAGATGATGCTTTGTGATCTAAATTAGATTTTAAACCTCACTGGTGTTTTGCAACGAAATTTTGAAAAATACCTTCCTTTGGTCGTAGAAGCTAGAAGGACCACCTACAGATATGGTGCTTTTATATAACTTCTGTCATTTTGACTGTATGCTCTGTATATGCTAACACCTTGGACCGTGGTCACTGTGAAGTGTGCACGTGTGTGGGTTAGCTCTCGTGCCTTGTTTGTCAGAACTGACAGCTGGGTAATATGAATAATGCAGGTTACTTCCATTTTCATCACCTTGCTTTTTCAGTGATGAGTTTAATTTGCCCTTGCAGAGCTTTGTAAGGTCTCCCTGAAGTTCCTACCTCTACTCATTCCCAAGTGCCTGAAATAATTGTCCTGTAACACTTTCTTGGACTAGTAATTGCGCTACTATTACTGCAGTGTTGTTCCTTCTGCTTTATATAACGGCAGTCAGATTTTACTTGTGACACTACTGCCATGAAAAACTATTTGCCTTAACACAAACTGCATTCTAACACACTTATTGGAAGTATATTGGCACGTCTGTGTAATTCTTTTCCACCAGAGTGACATTTCTCCTTCAGAGGAGTGGTGCTGGGTTTGCCCTGCCATACTGGTTTTTTTTTTTTTTTAAACTTCTGAGTATAAATCACTTCTCTTCAGCCATCTTTTTCTCCTCCTTTTGTGTAGTTTGGGATTTGCTTCCAAAACAGTAGTACAGCGCTTCAGGAGAAAGTGACTCCATTTGTTTCTCGATGGCTAAAGATGAATCAATAGCTGTGCTCCCACTGTTCGCAACCAAACCAATGACTGGATTTGTTCTTCTGGACATACTTTTATTCCAGGTTATGAGATATATAGGCATATGGGTAGAGATCTTAAGCAGTCTCCCCTGGAAGTCTCCAGAAAACTGAGATTTCTAGAAGCATAAATACAGACTAGATCAGATCTAGTGTATCAGTGTGATTAACAAACCGTGCGATTTTTGTCATGTGATGTGTTGTGAGTGATATCAAATAGCTCTGCAACATGTCACTGCAAAAACCCTTGTGTGCCAAGTCTCCATGTGATGTATACCTATATGATGATGGTGACAATCTGTTTGTGTGTGTAGACTAGATGAACCATCCCGGTGATAAATGCTGTACATAAAAATTGCCTGTGCTTCTGTATTTTTTTTCTTTTTCTTTGAGGTAGATGCTTTCCTGGCCCCCATCACTAACACTGGTATGTTCCTGTTCGTATCTTTGTACTAGAAAATTTGCAAGAAAGTTGTAACAGATTTGGCAAAGGGGAAAATCCAGGCACGGAGAAGTTAATCATTTTCCCAGAACACTGCCATAAGTGACTTGTGTGCCTGTCCAGACCTTGACTGCAGAACTTACTGTCCTCTTGAAGGATCCACCACCCTTGTGAGAACGTCACCGAGTTCTGCAGGGACAGTGCAGTGACCCAGCTGGTCTCTGGTGGCGTGCATGCTTTGTCTGGGACTCTTCCACGTGCTTTTGCATAAAAGCGAACAGTTGCACAGGCATAGATTTGCAGTGTAAGGGGCCAGGTTTGTCAGGTTAACGTCGGCTGCTGTCTGCCTTGGTTTTCATGGTTGTGGAATGTGTAGTGATATTTTTGGGGTAAGTGAAGTGAGATTTGACAGTGGCCATTATCAGTGCTTCTTTGTGTCTCAATAGCACAAAAACTTTAGTATGTTAATCGTTACGCTGCTAATTTTAAAGGAGACAGATTTCCTGCTTCTGTTGGAGTAGAGCTCAAGTTTATGGGAAAATCCTAAATCATTGGGAGAAGAAAGTCCTTAGAACTGCTCAGAGTTGTCAGCAGATCTCTATAGCGTCTCTTGATGTGTGTCAAGGGCTGCCTAGAGAGACCATACAGCCTTGGTGATGGAAAAGGAAGCATTTAGACTAAGCACATTTAGCACATTGCACAGCGTCTATAAGATGTAGCTTGTGAACCAGGCAGTGGAAGACAAAATGCTGAAAATGTTTGATGTTTGACCTTCCTGATGTTGCTCATGTTTGAATCGAATATAACAAGCAACAAACAACTGTGTGTTGTGTAATTTGGGGAACATAAAACATTTGGAAGAGTGAATTGAGGTGTAATGATTTTCTTTTCAGGGATCTCTTCCTGAAGAGATGAAGTTTCCGGCCTAACATTATCTCTCTTAAATGCTGCAGTGTCTGGGAGAGAGGGCAATTATCTCCTAGTCTTTGGAGAGTGGGCTAGTGACCTGCATATCCTCCTCAAAGGCTCAGGAGGACGGTGTTTAACACAATTTGTCTTATTCTTACAGGACAAGAGCAATGGGTCTGCTACTACAATGCAGTATCTCCTTTAGATTGTTGTATTGTAGAGGCTGAAACCACACGCCATCCTGAAACATGGTGCAGGTCTGGGATGCACCCTTTATCTCGGGGAGTTTGGCCCATCAGTAACTGCCACTGCAGCTACAGTGCAAACAGTAAAAGGTTTGCCAAATCGGCTAACCGACCCGATCGACGCAGCGGGACTGACTGTCTTGTGTCTGGGAGATCTGCAAAGCAGACTGGGCAGAGGAGGTTAAATGTGTGTCACGGGAAGCTTTGTCTGTTTTCTTCCACCTCTTCATCTTAGCCTGCTCCCTGGTTTTTTGGATGGTTGCTTATGTCTTCTTACCTTGCTCTCTTTGATGTTCATATTTTAGTCACAGCTGTAGCCAGTTCGTCCTTTCACACAAAAAGAATAAGGTCTTCCCAGCACAGTGGACCAGTTTGTACAACTCTCCAGTGACTTGGTAAAGCAGTTTTGTAAGAAAATAAAGATCAAAATTAAAAGGTTTCATATTCTGTGGGTTGTTTTTCTTTTTCTTTTTTTTTTTTTTTGTATTTCAGTGAGGGTTCCGTATTTCATTGACTTGAAAAGACCACAGGATCAAGGTTTAAACCACACCTGTAATTATTACCTGCAGCCGGAGGAGGATGTAACCATTGGAGTCTGGTAAGGAAGCCTTTTGTGTGCAGTATGTGCCGTGCATCTTTATCCTTCTTGTTCTCAGTGTTGCCTGTCCAGTATTTTTGCTGTGCATGGGACGACCATTGCTTGCTGTGATTTGTGGATGTTTGTGTTTCCCTCTACCAAGTGACCGAGTTCATGTTGAAAAGTATGCAAATCCCTGGAGCTTGTCTGAACTCTGATCAGTAATGCATGAAACACAAGTGGGCAACCTGTGCAGTCAGAGAAACTTCAGAATTTGGAATAGTAAAGGTTACAGGTCTGCACTGCTACAAAGATCATGCCTCCGTATCAGATGAGACTGAAGGAGTTAGAAGTTTTGTCATTCAACTGCTGTTCATATTTTGTTTTGAAAGATAAATGTGGGGGAAGATAGGAAAACTGCATGCAAATATAGCAAAAATGCATGCAAAGTGTTCCGAGTAGGAAGAAGAATATTCTGTGTATAAAACATAGGAAAGGTTCGAAGAGTGGGTGAGAATGGAGCACGCAGTTTACTGTTAACAAAACAAGTGACAGTGTGAGAGCTCACTTACCATTCCTTTCTCACAAAGATTTCCTGGTCCCAAGCAAGGACAATTCATTTTAGCTCCTTGTTACCCAGCATCAGCTCAGATGACTGGTTCTCTGTCTGAAAAGGCCTATTTTCAGTACTTCCCATATTACACCAGCTCAAACCAGCTTCTGCATCTGTTTCTCATGATGACTTTCTGTTGTGTCTCAACACCAGGAGTTTCAAAGCCACAGAAAAGTTCCTGCTAGCTTTGAAGAAAAAGAAGTGCCCGCAGTTTGAATATATATTTTTATATATATATATGCAAGAGCAGCAAACACAAGAAAAAAAGGCTAGACGCCCTGTCAGGTGTGAGGGGGAAGGGGCTGTTCTTTAACACAGCCAGTGTTGTTAGCTCTGTAAGCTTGAAAAAGTTTAGATTGCAGTCTTGAGATTTTTGTTTCCCTTACAAGCATATTGTATATCTTTACTAAAGCAGAACTTACAGCTTGTGGTGGCAATTCAGCGTCTATGTCATTTGTCTTGATACTTATAAATTTTCACGAAAGTTTGGAGCCTTGCTTTAATGGCGGTGTAAGGTCTTGTGATCAGGATACTTCTGAAACAAAGGCCTCAACCTGCTTTGTTCGGAAGCTTGCAAAAGTCTTGGGGCAGAACAGTTGGCAAAGTTGAGTCCTACGGTTATTGGGGCTTTTTTCCTCCTCAGGAACTCAAGATCTGGCTGCGTGCGTGCAGGTAGACTTTTTACATTGGTTCCTGCTGTGTTGCTTTGTCCTGAGCTTTACATCTGGGAGGAAGGTGTGGTAGATGGAGTTTGTCTGTCTTCCAAGAAGAAAGGCATGCGAGCACTTCAGTTACTTCTGAAAGCTGTAAGCTACCCCCTTCTCAACTATTTGAGATGGTTGTGGGCGTGCACCTGCTTTCAGTGCTTGTCTTCTAGAGTAATTACCCAGTTTAAATGCCTGCCTTCTACAGTCTGTCATTCCTCTCTTTCCATTCCACCAGTGTTGAGTTCTTTCTAACAGGCTGCCCAGCTATATTATCTACAGCAGAACAGCTGTGAGTTAAAAATTCCTGGCTTTTCTAGATTGTAGCTTTTCCAGCTAAAATATTCCTTCAGGAAACTGGTGTCTGAAAGTAAAATACATGATCTTCTCATCAGACCCTGAGCCTGTCTTTTTCCTCAGATTGACTATGGAGTCAGATATGACTCTCCCTGAACACTTTCCAAAACCAGCTGACTTGGATTATTCTGAACATCTGCTGACCTAGCTGTGAATCTTGTTTGTGTTATATAAATATGTTAATTGAAGTAATTAAGTGCCGTAAAAGCTGAGGAATTGAGATTCTTTCTCCAGAACAGGGGGAAATTCAGTAACTGGGCTTTGGGTTTACCTTGCACAGCCCTGAGTTTTGAAGGCAACAACGATGGGAGTTGAAAATGTAGGAATAACCTAGCCAATGCCTTTTAAATTGGGCCTTTTGTCAGCTAGCCATGACAGTTTTATGAAGAGGGTGTGTAAGGTGTGTAATCCTGAGTTAATGAGTTGATCAGAAAAATTCGAAATTCGAGTGGCAGACACTGAGGAGCAACAGGCCAACATAATTTTTCCTTCTGTGTACAGGCACACAGTCCCTGCAGCCCTGTGGAAGAACGCCCGAGGGAAGGACCAGTTGTGGTTTGAAGATGCTTTGGGTTCCAGCCATCCTGTAATCCTTTACTTGCACGGCAACGCGGGAACAAGGTGAGGCACAAAACAGTGATGGCTTTGTTTCATGCTGTGTTTTCCTGGCTTGACACAGCTTCAACACATTGATAAAAAAGACAGGGACAAACATTTTGGTAGGGTCTGTAGCAATAGGGCAAGGGGGGGTTAATGGTTTTAAACTAAAGAGGTTAGATTTAGGCTAGCTATGAGGAAGAAGCTTTTTGCAATGAGGGTGGTGAAAGAGTGGCACAGGTTGCCCAGAGAGGTGGTAGATGCCCCATCCCTGGAAACATTGAAGGTCAGGGTGGACGGGGCTCTGAGCAACGTGGTCTAGGTGAAGGTGTCCCTGCTCATTTCAGGGGGCTTGGACTAGGTGACCTTTAAAGGTCCCTTTCAACCCAAACTATTCTGATTAAAACCAAAATAAAATCTAAAAGCAGTTTGATGCTTCTCCTTCCTTTTAAAAGGAAGGTATGTTTTAAGAAATTATGCTTCTCCTTCTATTGAGTGTGGGGATAGATTTGTTGCAGTTGGTGGAGATATCTGATATTGTAGTTTGCTTTGTATCTGCTAGAACCCAGGAGGCTGCGACACCAGATGAGGTAGGGAGGTACTTTTCAGTATAGTGGTCTCTGAATCAAGACATGGGATAGTATTAGTGCTTCTGTATATGTGATTTACATGCATTAAATAAACTTTCCAGTTCCTTTTGTGAGTTTATTTCAGTAGTTAACACACTCTGAGGAAGGAAAATCAGAAAAAGAGAGGCAGGTAATGTGCTGGTCTTGTTTCATTATTGCATACTTACAGGACATTGGTCTGGAACAGGAGCACTTCTGCAATCTGTAACTTTATAGTTGACCATGTGTATCAGCTAAAGTAGTAGGTCGGTTCTCTATACTTTGCTGGCTGCTAAAAATGAGTAGCGCAGTGTGAAGCTCAGGTTTCTCAGAATCGCATTCTTACTGCCACATCTCTGCATGATGCAGTGCTTTAGTTAATTTATTAGAACATGGTCTTTTTCCTTACTAATGTACATCTTACAAAGCGTATCGTCCCCTTTCTGATTTTTGAGTGCCAGTGCATGTTCTTTTGAAGCTGATGTCTGCTCGTAGATACTGGTGCAAGAGCAGAAACATTGCAAAAATACAAGTTCCATGATGTAAAGCAAAGAAAATCTGTTTTAAATGGGCTGGTAGTGAAGGTTCACTAGCCTCACACCGTAGGAACGTTGCCCTTTTTCACCTAAAATCTTGTCTTAGCAGTGTTCTTCTTTAGTACAAGAGCATGGTGGAAGATGCATGCTGTGAGCCAGGAAATGCATGAGCGTACAGGTTTTTGGAAACCGACTCCATCATCTTGTGCTGATGTATTACAAGGCTTAATCAAATCATTGCATTATTTTTCAAATACTGCTTTGCTTGTTTTCTTGCCTTTATTTGGTATAGCAAACGATACTAATGGAAGCTATTCTGCAGCTTAATGGTGGTAATTTGGGACCAGTATCTCTGTTATGTGTGTATTGATTAGATTTACTTCTTGGCTTCCCCAAGTGCTCCTGAGATAAAGTACTGAGCTATGGATCAATTACATATGTCACATTTCTGTGTATTGGAGAAGCTGGAGGTGCATTGGCATTGCCATTTCAGCTTTAGTACGTATTGCTGTATGTTTCTACACTGCATATTCAGCCTCTTGCCAGAGGGCTGCTTTATTGATGCAGGCTGCATTAGCCAGAAGTAAAAGGCACTGCCTTGGCTTTCTGCTTTGCTTGTGTGCTCTGGAGCTGAGGCAAAATGTTATGTTTACGTGATTCCCCCCTTAGAAAAAAATCCAGTGTCGTACTTTGGGGAATGCATGCAAAGGCACCAATATGTGCACATCAAGGGTGGCTTTTCAAGCAAGTGTATGTTCTGCTTCAGACTTGCATGATTCAAAATTACTTACAAGCAAACCCCTTGCATTTTGCCCTTAGTGTTTTTGTCTACATTAGGTATTTTATAGTACAGTTGGAGCTGACAGCTTTTGGCTGGCAAGTGGGTGTGTTCTTAGAAGGAGGTCTGGTAAGTGGCATTTTGGGTTAGAGGCTGCACTGACCAAGCCAGTTGTAGCGTGAATGTTGTAGAGTTTTCAAGGGTGCAGGAGTAAATCTACTCTTCCGTCAATGCTAGACTAAAGTTTGGGTGTGGATTAGCCATGTCATATTATGGATATATTTTAAAGCGTGTAATGGCACATTTATTCTCCATTTTATTGTCTAGATTTCAATTTATGAAAAAAACATTAAATCAGATTCTTCCCCTGGACTTATTTACAATGTTCAACTCTGGTTTCCTCTGCTCAGTCTTTTGCACACGTTCTTTCTGTCCCTGTGCTTGGAGCCAGGTGAGAAAATCCAAGGGCAAGTTTCTTGGGCTAACGTGGTGAGTTTTGCTGAGAGCATCAGGCTTTGGAGAGCAGGGGTTACTGGCTGGGGCAGCCCTGGTGGCAGGAGCACAGGGTCTGCAAAGGCAACAGGGACAGGCTCTTGTGGATGTATTAGAGGCTTTGGAAGAGGCAGACAGGAGGGTGGCCTGAAAAGTTCATCTTTACCGGCTGTGAGAAGAGATGTATGGGGAGAAGCTGATTTCAAAACTGTCCTGCATAGCTCAGCAAAGCCTCACTGTCTCCTTGAAGCCCGTGACAAAGCAGTTGTGGTGTTTGTTTGTGTTAAACTGGAAGCCTGAGGCAATTGGGAAAGTCTGTTTCTGGAAACTTCAATGTTCACATGTGGTATTTCTTTTTTGTTTGTTTGTTTTTGTTGTGGTTTGTTTGTTTTCCCTCCCCCCCCTTCTTCTCTTCATGAATCACTTTTGCCAGAGGAGGGGATCACCGTGTGGAGCTTTACAAGGTAAGTAGCTGCATGTGTTGTCCAAGCAGTTGCATTAACACATCAGATGTGCACAGGCCTGAGAAGACTGCTCGTTACAGCCCGCTGCCAGTGGGCAGATAGCTTAGGGCTCTTAGTTCTCTCTAAATATGAAGCATGTACAGGAAAATGGGCCTGTAAGCTGTGAGCACGCTTCCCCATATTGGAAGATTTGAAAGGTTTTTTACTTGCTGTTAACTGTCAGCTTCAGCTGAGCTAACCAGGTTTTCTGCCAGCAATACTTTCACAACACAATTAATAGGAAAAAATAATATAGAGTTTTATTTAATCACAGCTGTAATTTGATTAGTATACTAATTTAAGGTACCATTCAAGAGTATTCTTTTGTATGTTACCAGTCTCTACTCACCATTGCAGAATAGAATAGAATATTTTCAGCTGGAAGGGACCTACAGTGATCGTTTAGTCCAACTGCCTGACCACTTCAGGGCTGACCAAAAGTTAAATCATGTTAAGGGCATTTTCCAAATGCCTCTTAAACACTGAAATGCTTGGGACATCAACCACCTCTCTAGGAAGCCTGTTCCAGTGTTTGACCACCCTCTCAGTAAAGAAATACTTCATGTCCAGTGTAAACCACCCCTGGAGCAGCTTTGAACCATTCCCGTGTGTCCTGTCACTGGATACTAGGAGATGAGATCAGCATTCTCCTCCCCACTTCCCCTCCTCAGGAAGCTGTAGAGAGCAATGACATTTTCTCCAGACTAGACAAACCTCAAGTGTTTAGCCGTTCCACGTAGGACATCCTTTCCAGCCCTTTCACCAGCTTTGTGGCCCTGTGTGTGAGCTGGCACAGGCAGGATGCAGGAACAACCACAAAACCACGGATGAAATGTAAAGAGTAAATTTATTTTTTTTGTTACCTTACCAATTGGGGGATCCCTGAAGCAGCACCCAGGCAGAGGCACGCAAGCAGAAACACAGGCACCGCGGAGCTGGGTCGGTGGTAGAGGATCACCAAACCTGCTCTCTTCACCTGTGTTTCAGGGATTCGCCCGGGCGTAATTTACCGCTGTGCTGTGATCTTCCCCGCAGCAGGGTGGGAATCTCGAGTGTTCTAGGTCTATCACAGGCCTGTGTTATCTACACACAGATGTTCTACTTGTCCAACACACAAGGCGAAACAACAATTAGTGTGAGAGACGTGTTTCTCAGCACCCCAGCTGCAAGTCACTTGAGCGTGTTTACCACCCTCCTTGCCAATCAGCATTTTATTTATTTTTCCACACCTTCCTCTGGATGCATTCGAGTACCTTCACATCTCTCTTAAACGGTGGGGCCCGGAACTGCACGTGACACTGCAGGGGAGGCTGCACCAAGGCTGAACACAGAGGGACGATCCCCTCTCTTGCCCAGCTGGCCGTGCGCCCATGTTTGATGCACCCCAGGGTGCGGTTGGCCCTCGGCTGCCAGGGCACACCCTCCCAATTTACACCTGTGCCTGACATTACTCCGTCCTAGGTGCAGAATCCAGCATTTGGGCTTGTTAAATTTCATCCCGTTAATCATTGCCCCGACGCTCCGATCTATCTAGCAACTTGCTGTTCTTTTTTTCTTATTACGTTAAAAATTTTAAACTCGACCATTTCATGATCACTGTGGCCAAGACAGACACCTACCTACCATCACATCTCCCCCAAGTCCTTCTCTGTTCACAAACAGCAAGCCTAGGGGGGCATCTTTTCAAGTTGGCTCACTGAGAGCTTGTGACAAGAAGTTATCTCCTACAAAATTCAAGAATTTCCAAAACCTGCTTGTCACAGCAGTATGGTATTCCCAGTTGATGTCTGGGGGGTTGAAATCTCCCATAAGGACAAGGGCTGCTGATCCAGAAAGTTCTTCTAATTGCCTATAGAATAACTCCTCAGTGCTTACATCCTGGCTGGGGTATCACTACCTCTCTTTTGTTTTCTGGTCCCGTAACCCTCACCCAGAGGGAGGACTGAGGAAAATGCTACCCATGCTCCTGAATTTTTTCCTGCAACCTCTTTTGATTGGCCTCAGACTTTATGTTGTGACATCATTAGTGAAAAGCAGGAATGGATAGTAGTCTGAAGCTCTCCACTCCTGTGGTGACGTCCACAGGTTGGGCCCCAGGGAGGCAGCAGACTTCCCTGAAAAGAATTATTTGCTCTGCAAATGGGCACTTCCATTCTGCACGGGAAGGAATTGCCAACGTTCATAACTTGTTGCCTCTTCTCAGCTCTAGTCTTAATGCAGGTTTTGTTGCAAGGATGCCATACACGATGCCATACCTCACCAGCTGTTGGGAAAATATATGTGGATTGAGGCTAGCTCAGATTCCTCGTACCCTTCAAACTCTTGAAGGTGACATTTGGTCTTTTAAATGCCAGAATGTTGGGCTGAGCCAGTGTGAACCTCCCCATTGATCCATTAGTTGAGTGGGGTGACAAAGCTGGTACTTGTAATTCACTGAACAGCTTGTTGCAATGAAACATTTTCCAGGTTGCCAGTGCAGGGGTTACTTTATCACTTGGCAGGCAGGCAGGTCCAGCCTGGGTTTCCCCCTTTCCCAGGGCATGGTGCATTTGTAGGAGTGATGCCGTCTCAAGTGCTGAAGATTTCGTACAAAACCCCATAAATTTCCCAGCCTTAGCACGGTGGTGTGTTACCAGAGAACAGGCAACTTCAGCTGGTTTGGGTTGCTTGCTTAATGACTTCCATGGTCATTTATTTTATTAAACTCTCAGCTGAAATTCTCACACACAATTTCTTGGTTTCGTATCATGTGTTTCTAAAAGAGCCATCATTATTTTTGCTGGCTCATTTCAGAGGAGTCCGAGTCCATGTTTCTCCTATGGATTTAGCTATCATTTCCTCCTTATTTGTGTCAGTGTTGGCACTCATAAAGCTTTATTGCAATGCAGCTCCTTGTGCAAGATCCCCCTGCTGCAAAGTCTTTTAAATTCAAAAAATGTTTTGGCAACCCCAAGGAGACAGGTGATATTTCGTTTCCTTTAAGAAAAAAGGATGAGCCGAGTTGCAGAAAGTTGGTTGAGGACACTTGTGTACAGTGATCTATCTGGTCATTTTTCTGGAACCAACCTATGCTGCAGTGCATTTTGTGCTGGCCAGGACAGACAGAGGAGTTGTTTTGGGTTGTGACTGAGCAAGAGTAGCAGTGCTTCAGAGTACTCGGAGACTCTGCGTGCCTCTGTTTCTGTTTGTGTACACATATGGAGAACACAGTTTAGCCAAACCCAAGGTTTCTGTTCCTGGGTCTGGTATGCTTTTGCTTCTGAGAACACAGACAAATTGCTTAGTTTGTCTTTTTCAGTTGGTTACTCACATGTGAGTAACTATGAGCTTACCAGAACCGCGCCAGAAATTCCAGGTCCATGCTTATTCTCGCAGAATGAAACAGGCTGGATTGCTGTCCTTTTTGCTGGTGCTGCTGGTAGACTAGAAGCAGTAGGGGAAACCCTCTAGAAGAAGCTCAAAGGGGAAATAGTAATTGTAAGAGGTCTCTGTCCTTTCTTTGGAGCAATTGATTCGTGTGAGCAGCTTTTCTCAGCAGCAGCACTGAAAATGGAGACTCTCACTGCTGCACAGTCCGTGAGCAGCAGGTATCTGAAATCATTCTTGCCCGAGTCGCTGTGTGTCTGCAGACAGTAGCCAGAAGCAGGAGCTGTGAGGAAGCAAGCAGGAGGAGCAGCAGCGGAGCAGTAACCAGATACAGACTCGCTTTGAGGGACATGCTTTCCCCTCGTCGGGACAAGCGTCCAGTTATTCTTTGCTCAAGCCTGGTTTCCAGATACCACAGTTACCCATGTATGCAGGGTGTCACTGTGTTATTCACGTTATTTGAATTATTCATGCTTGTATAATGCAACTCAAAACCTTTTAAAATTGACAAGACTCCTGTTCTCTTAGCTACTTTGACTGTCAGTGACAGACAACCACAAGCTCCTTATGCAATTCGTTCTTCTACATGGAGGCTTCGGCAGTGGAGCTCTGAGTTGGTGTTGCACTGATGTGCTGGGAGAGCGAGCTGATGCACAGGTTTGTTTTGCCCACTGCATGAGGTTACTCAATTTCATAGCAGCACACGAAACAATGCAGTATTGTTACAGGGGGCGTAAGTAGTTACTATAAATAAAACACGGCATTGTTAGGGTAAACATCCTGTTAAGGGGGAAAGGAAATGCCGGTTATCTGCCAAGCTGATTGAAATCTTAGTGGCTTCATCTGAGACTTTTTCTGAACTAATTATAAGGGGAAGAACAAGAAAGAAAAATACTCTTAAAGACTAAACCAGCAGATGCTGTTAGTGCAGGGCATAGGACTGGGATGCTCCCAGCGTCACTGGCCTCGGGCAGGGATGCTACAGCTCGCCATCAGCTGTCTGTCACCAGGAGGAGCTGGATGTCGATGGGTGGTGGAGGTTCTTCCTCCTTTTGTGTATCCACTGTGATAGGCCGGGCTTTGGCCTTGCTTTGCGTCTCTGCTTTCCTCTTGGGAAGTGGGTGTTTGGGTGCTGCAGCTGCCCAGCGCCAGGGTAGGAAGGCAGGTGCGTGAGCAGCAGAGCCATGCTTTAATCAGGGGGTGCCAGTAGTGTGGGGCCCTGCATTGTGAAGGTTGAGGTGGGCACCTAACAGCTCTGGCAGCCGGGATGGTGGTCATAACAATTTCTGCTGCTTTTCCTGCGTGTTCCCATTCCTCCTCAGCCTCATCTCTTCCTTTCCCTGGAAGAGAAAGGCACCTCTAAAGCGTACAAGCAGGGCAGTGCCCCTGGCTGGGGCCTGGCGGGTCCTTGGAGGAATGAGCACCTGCAAGCGGTTCACTTGGATCTTGGCTTTGAGTTGAGTGGGTCCAGGACCGGGAGGCTCCATCAACTTCTTCCCTTGGTTAAAGGCATGAGATGGCCTTCATCATCTTTACCCCAGGTCTTTGTTCCTGCTTTCTGCTAGGGAGAGAACTGGGCACACTGGCTTGGGGTGTGCTGGGCTGTGAGGAGGCAGCTCTTGGTGGTCAGGGGTCCTGAGCATGACCTGCTTAGGTTTAGCTGAGCATGGAAATTGCTGCTGCCTGTGCCTGGGGGTGTCTTGAGGGCATCTTCGTTGCTGAGTGCTGTGAGAGGGCTGGTGCTTTTGGCAGCTGACAAGGACAAAAGCCAGACAGACTAACCTTGCAGCATCTGCTCTCTGCCAGGTGGATCACAGCTCCTGGCTCCCAGTGGCAAGAGGAGAATTTGGCTGGGGGGTGCATCATGCCGTTCCTGTCCCTCTTTAGGAGGTTGGGGGTTCAGACCCAGATTGGGGTTCAGGAAGGCTGGAGGCCACTCTGTGGTGGTCTGCGACAGGTTTGAGGTGCAGGTGCTGGCTGGTGCAGGTCAGACTGATGGTCTGAGGAGGTAAATGAGGGGGAGAACCAGGTGCTGAAGGGCTGTTTGCAGGAAGACAGAGGGCAGGAAGGTGAATATTCAGGTGGAAGAGGCAGAGCTGCCATGGGAACAGTGACCTGGGGTGAACAGTGATGCTCCGCTGCAAGGGCTGAGCTCCCAGAGTAAGGTGGGTACCAGCCCCAGCAGCACAGGTGTGAAGTATCCACGAGTATAAACATAAATCTAGGATGGAGGTTGGAAAGAAAAGAATATTTGAATTGAGCACATGATCAGCTAATTATTTATCAGTAACTAAGCAGATAGAAGTTGAAGGAATAGTTGAATAATAATCTCTAAGTGGAACTGGGATATATCTGGCTTTGAAAATGAAATGTTAGTCCTGTGTGCATGATTACAACGAATGTATTAAACTCTGCATATTTTTAAAGAAGAAAGAGGGAATGGTAAAAATCTGGTTTTAAATGTAAGAGCTGCTGATTAAAATAGAACCACATCTATTTGTTACTAAGAAGAGATGCTGCCAATGCAGCCAGCACAACAAACATGTATAGAAGATCGGTAAACTGTCAACAGGTTAAATTATTTGTAATGGCCTAGAAAAGGCTAGATTGTCTGTGATATCTTAGCAGTAAAATCACATTGTAAAGCTGAAAACCAAACTTTGCAAGAAGGAACTTTGTGTTCTGCATGTCCAGTCGGGGCCCAATATGTAGGTGAACCTGTAAAAAGTGGTGTGTAGTGATTCTAATGGAAACAGCTGTCCTGCAGCAGCTATTTTATTAATATTTTACCTGATTATTCTGCCACTGTTACATCGGTTGCAGTGGTGTGCTGTACTGTGGTGTTGTACGTACATAACCACATCTCTGATGTTACTTGCAAGAGGATGTTGAAGAAACAGTGACTTCTGAGTGCAGATCCTGGAGTGGACTGGCTGCATGTTTAATGCCTCTGCTGTAAGGGGCCTTTGCCCTGGGAGTACACACAGTGTGGGCCTTGTTATCTCCAGGGGAACCTCTTTGAAGGATTTAGAGCCCAAGGAAGAGAAACATGAATTGCTTGGAGGCCTGAGTATCAAGCAAAGGAGCTATGAGTGACTTTGAAGCTGTTGCAGTTGCATCCATTAATAAAAATTCCAAATAACTGTTAGTGGGAAAATGGCATTAAAAGAAGGGTAGTGGAGTAGCACATAACCCTCTGGCTAGTGCCAAGAAATCAGACAACCACGTGTGGCCAGGGTGAGCAGGAGGCGACACGTCGGTCTCAGAGGAGCAGGGCAAGCTGTGATACGTACGTGACGTTACTGGCTTCCCATCTTCAGATGACCAGTTAGATCCCAGCGGGGCAATGGAAATGCTCTCTCCATTTCCAGTTAGGTGCCAGTTGTCTGTGAAAGCTCCAGCTGCACTTGTGTGCACACTGTGTGCCCTTGTATTGTCGTACAAAACTACCCGATACCAGTGCATGTAAGCTATTAAGGTTAAAATTATACAATTCCTTCAGAAAGTATCATTCCAGTTGCACGCTGCGGGAGTCCCAGTGTCACAAGATGTGTTATTAAAAAAATTGCAACGAGTGCCAACCCAGCTGTTAACACGGGAAGCCCAGCTTGTGCAAGGAGCTCTGAAGGAGGTGACTGCTACACACCAAGCAGGTGTCTGCGCTGCCCCAGCGCTGTGCTGGGCACTGCTCCTGCCCGCAGTCCCCCTGAGAATGGTGTCCCACCACCCCAGCGGTTTTGAACGTGGCTTTGCATCCTGTAGTTGCCATCTTAACAGCAATTTTAGTCATTGGGCAAGCTGCATTGGCTTGTAAAACCAAACGCTCAGCGACGCAGTAGCGGCAGCGGGTTACAACGAAGAGGTCTGCGCTGTCCTCGGACCTGGGCAGGCTATCCTGAGGCAAGCTGAAAGGGTAAACACCTCTGATAAAACCCATTGCAGGGTCCTGGTGGGAAGCCCTGAGCCACGGGAGGGTTTGCAATGCCCCTGCTGCACTGGAGTGCTAGCCTGCAGTTGGTGGTCTGTCAAAAAGGGGCATTGCAGCCTTGTAACCCGGTGCAGGTGGTATTGCCGCTGCTAGTAATGTGGCTGAGGCTCGTAAGGCTGCTTCTGACCTTGTTTTGGAGCTCCCTGGAGCACTGTTTCGAGCTCGTTTAGCCATAAAAGCAGTTTGTTTCACAACCAGGCGGGTGCTGGCTAGCTGATTTTATTTTGGCTGAGCTTTGTGTGATTAGGTGGCGTAGCCTTAACTGTAATGCGAATAGTAACAATTCTCAGGCAGAGGGTGTCAAACCCAGCACAGTGAGAGTGTGGAGGAGCAGAGGCCTGCTGTGCCAGCAGGGACCTGGGAGGGGGGGACGCAGGGGCCCTGCAGAGGAGCACAGCTATGAGCTGCACAGGACGGGGCCCGGGCTGTGCCCGGCCTGCAGAGACACAGATCTGGGAGCTGGGCAAAAATGGGTTTAGAAGCGATCGAAGAGAATGCGCCCAGCCTATGTCGAACACCCCGTAAAGTGATGTGGGATGTAACACAGACTCACAGAGCAGTGAAGAGAAAGAAATACCCAGCGTACGTCCGAAATGTTTGACAGTTATCCCCAGATGGATCCTAGAGGAAGTGGGAGAAACCATCGCCATATAGTCCTCCCAGCAAAGGACTTGAGTCGCCACCTTACCCAAACACCCCTCTTGCCCACGTTGTCCTCTTTTTCTTCTTTTTTTCATACTAATGAGATCTGAACTAGTAACAGTAATTGTTCGGGCTGGTAAGATTTCAATTACACTAGAAATAGTGTTGGTTTTACATACGAGGTGATTTCCTTCAGTCCATTAGAAGGTTTAGAGTATAGTATAACACTAAGATTGCCCTTTTTAATCCTGTATTATCATACATAGACCATGACAGCAGTAACATTTTAATCTTTTTTGACTTGTTGATTTTTAGGTACCACAGAGCGGTTTTGTTCATACTGAGCAACGGTAGCTCGGAATGCTAGCATGGTTTTTACCAAGTCACCTTTCCTGAGCAAGTCGATCTAACATTGGGTATTTTTACTTGCTTTAACAGATTTTGTTAGGATTACTGTTGGCTGCAACATAAATGTTCATGATAGAGCAGTTGCACGTTTGGGATGTATACATTTAAGCCTTCTGAAACAGGCTCCTGTATGTTATGCTCCCATTTATGCCAATTTGAACAATATAAATGAAGCAGTTGTACTGTTTCACAGGAAAACTCCAAAGTGTTTGTAGGGGAAACAGTCGTAGGATATTTGCAGACCTTAAAGGCAAAGCTGTTAAGGGGAGAACAGGCATCTAAGCCTGATACAAGGTCCGGGGAGCAAACGGAGTAAAACCAGCGGGCTGAGACGATTAGTGTTTGAAAAGCTCTGCGCCTGCTGCACTGAAAAACTGTGAGGTGTTGCTTTACCGTGTCAGGCCGATAATGTTATCAATTAGATCCCTGCAGCTTGGCCTGAGGCGGGAGCGCAGCTGCTGTGCAAGTCTCTGTGATGGGTTGCTGCATGTTTCTCTGCTCTCCAGGTTCTCAGCTCCCTTGGGTACCACGTGGTCACGTTTGATTATCGAGGTATGTCGGCTTCTTTTATTATGAAACACTTGTAGGCGTCTCTTTCTGTAGAAACAGCGAAGTTGCCTTTTTTTTTTTTGATCTTAAGGGAGCTGGTTTTTTGGTAAATGCTTGCTGCCAGCTAATTAGATGTGGTTACTGCTTTTTTTTTTATTTCACGGCTATCCAAAGAACGTTGAGAAATTTCTTTCCAGTGCCTTCCTGTGTAGCACTGCTTCCCGATGTCCAGCTCGGTGGGCTCTGGCTCCTGTCTGTCCTCAGGCACAGGGCTTATTGATTTGGGAGCTGAGGAGCAGAGGGTGACCAAGGCACGTAGATGCTGTCACAGCATCCAGTTAAGGCGTCCACCCATCTGGAAACTAGTAAGCTTGTGGAGATGTAGTCTTTTGGATAGGATCTAACTGATTTTCCTGGGGTCGCACAGGGAGCTGAACTTGTCGTCTTAAAAGCTGATAGGTGAGATAAGACAGACAGTAAATGATTTTCTAACAACTGGGAACGCCCGTGCCAGAAGCCTGACCATTGTGCAGCTCTGTGCCACTAGCTGTCGAGCATCTGCTGCTCTTTTTTTCCCCTTCCTAGTATTTCAGCCATGACTGCAGCGTAATGCCACTGGCGATACAGGAAAGAAATGAATCCATTGCATTTTTATCAAGAAGAGATCTGGGAGGGATTTTTTTGTAGGAGCTTGCCCTGTTTCTCAGTCCTGCTGGCAGCTGCTTTTCCAACGGCTTATTAGGTGTCAGAAGGGATGTGGGATGCTTGCTGCTTAGCGTAAGATGTATAGACATGCTGCAGTAGTGGTGGGGCCAAAACAAGCGGGAGGGTGGAAAATTCCTCGAGGGCATTGATCAAACAGCAGAGACAAACCCACGTTGCGGGATGCGCTTTGGTTTTGACCCCAAGCATCCATTCTCCTAGAGACTCCACTTACAGATTGGTTAGATGCGTGCAAAAGCAGCTAGGGTTTGGGAGCTGGGCTGTTGCAGGGGGGCAGGTGCAAGAGCACGGAGCGGCAACGCTGGAGGTCTAGCTCTTGGTTTTGTTGTTGACTAAATCCACAAAACCTCTTTGGCAGCCAGCAGTTACCTTGTTGAAATGCCTGCGGAGCAGTCGGGGCTTCCAGCCCCCCCTTTGTAGAGGTGCCCAGCGCAATAAACAGAAACTGTCCGGGTCCCGGGTCCCCCTGCAGTTGCGGCTGAGCTGCATGGGAAGGGCTGGCTGGCTTTGGTGACCAGGTTGTGCAGCTGTCAGAAGGACTATTTGTGTTTCAGGCTGGGGTGATTCCATAGGCAGCCCATCGGAGAGGGGAATGACCTACGACGCCCTTCATGTCTTCGACTGGATAAAAGCAAGAAGCGGAGAAAACCCTGTCTATATATGGGGACACTCCTTGGGCACGGGGTAAGCATCTAACCTCAGGGGGATTTAGCAGCTTCTGAGAAACATTAAACGCTGACCTTGGATGAAAATGCTGTTTGCTATAATCCACAGGCTGGCTTGGCTTGGAGTCTGTGGTGGGGAGAGCTACGGTGAATGACTATGCAGGAATTGATCTTAAACTTTCATTGCCCAGAAGGTTACATTGGGAAAAAAAAAAAAAAAAAAGACACGTAGAGGAAATAATAGTGCCTATTGACCAAGGGGAGAGAAAGCAGGACTGCACTGATCTCTTCCTGTGGTGAACCTGTGTCTCTGTGTCCTTCAGAGCAGAACCTCAGGTTCCTCTGGTGCTCTGAAAGAGCATCTTAGCCCAGCGGCGCGTGCGTGTGACTCGCCCTCCTCCTGTCCTGGCAACCGTGCCGCGTGTGATCAGTACTGGTGCAGATGCCCGCGTGACACCCCTGCTGGCCACCCGTGACATTTGCGTGGTCATGCCTGGCGCAGGGAAGTTCAGAGTGTCGGGTGCCTCTGCCTGCACGTTTTTAACTGCCCTTTCCCGCTTCCTCCCTTTCCGTTGCTGTCGGGAGGTGGGCTGTGCTCCGCAGGCAGCATGTGCTCTTACCCCCTTGATTTGCAGAGGAGCAGAGGGCGAGCGCGAGTTACTTTGAGTTGAGCTGTGTGCAGATTGAACTGTTGGAGACTTGCCTTGCTGCCCAACAGGTGTGTTGCCGGGGGGGGCCTTTCAGGACAGTGCCCCTTCATTGCTGTGATGGGAAACGTCCTGCTTTGTTTGAGAGAAGGCGAAGGCTTTTCCTTTGGCTCTTCCTCTAAATTTTTACCGCGTTCAGGATCCCTTTCTGGGTCTGAGCACGCTCGTGACCTTTCCCACTGCCCTGCAGACTGAGCGGCCTGGCACTGCGGTCCCCAGCAGAGTCCCCTGGTGACCTATCGTAGGAGTTGGAGGTTTTTTGAAACGCGCTGTGCTTGTGAAGGGCTCGGCAACTGGGGGAGTATCCCTGTCCAGTTAGGGAGATGCTTGGGGGGGGGGGGGGAGACCTTGCTGCTTTCTGACCCAGCTGTGGAAACCCATTGCAGCATCAACCTGAGACCCTGCGTTCCAGCTGCCTGGGACACAGCACCCCTCTGCCCACGCCCCCCGCATTCCTTCCCCTCTTTCTCGCTCAGCCCTTGCTCTGGGGGCAAGAGGCCGCGTCACGCAGCTGTGGATACACCCGAGAGCCGCCTTAAAGAGGAGGTGCTTCAGGGAGCGCTGCTTCCTTGGGCTTGTTCGCTTACCTCAGGCACCTGGTGCTGCTCCAGACAGCTGGGAGACCCGTGGGGGCCCGGGTTCCTGTGGGCCGGCCGTGAGGACGTCGCAGCAGCCGAGTCGTACCGCTGCCGCCTACTCCTGCCAGAGCCTGGGGCTTTGCAGAGAGGGCCCCGTGCCGGATTAAACGCTCGTCGTTCTTCTTTCCAGGGTCGCCACGAATCTAGTGAGGCGCCTTTGCGAGAGAGGTGAGTCTGGTGGGGGTGGGTGCTCTTCCCCCCCCCCCCCCCCCCACCTCCCCGGCCCTGGGTCCTGTTGGCATCCCAGATGTCTGCGTGCGTTTGCTGCCGTGACAAGGCCGTGTCCCGGGCGCACCGTGGTGGCAGCTGCTCTCATAAGGCAGACCCCGACCTTGCTGGCTACCTGCGCCCCAGCACGTTGCCTTCGGCTTTTCAGAAACGCCCCCGGATGCCCTGGTACTGGAATCTCCGTTCACCAACATACGGGAGGAGGCACGAAGTCACCCCTTTTCTGTGGCAAGTACCCGGCGGCTCTCACGCCAGCGGCGTGTAACTGTGCGCGTCGAAATTGGCCTTCAGAAGCAACGGAGCCGGGCTTAGCTGCGTGGCTTGCGGGGCAGCGGTGGTATTTATGAGCATCAGGGGGTCAAGAGCTGCACTTAGGGCAGCTCCCAGGAGCACTAGTACCGTAAGCAGCACCAGAGCCGTGCGGGGGAGCCTGCTTAAAGAGACCAGAAGCCGGGATCAGAAAGGGCAGTGGATGTAGAGAGGGGAAGGGAGACTCTGCTCCCAGCCGCCTCTTGAGCTGTGGCTTTTCTGCTGCAGGAAGGTGCTTTGTGGGCTGTGAGCAAAGCGGTGGCAAAGCCGGGCTTCCGTGGGGTCCCCGGTGGGTTCCCTCCGACGTGGGCACCTCTTCCATCCAGCACGGCTGCGAGCGGGCTGGGGGCTGAGCAGGCAGCCGGCCCGGGCGTTGGATGTGGCGGGGCTGCTGAGGCGCGGTGGGATGAAGCTCTTCCGGGAGGATTGTTGCCAGCAGCAGCCTGGTACCTGGAGACCTTGACCGTACAAGCCCCCAGAGAGCCCGCTCCTGAGCGGGCTGATAAGATGGGCCTGAAACAGGAGAGGAGAACCAGTGCTGGTGGAAACGGGGACCCTCTCGCTGCAGAGGGTGCGGCCCGCAGCCGAGGGGCGTGACGGGGAGGGCAGTGGCCTGCCCTGGTGCTGCTCTCTGCCTAACTGTCCTGCTGGTGCCTGCCACTAATGCAAATTTTTCCCCCTCAGATATACAGGTACTTCCCTGGGTTTGACTGGTTCTTCCTTGACCCCATCACAACAAGTGGAATTAAATTTGCAAACGATGAGAAGTGAGTTCTCTCTCTGCTGGGTTTTCAGCCGTGGCAAGCGTCAAGCTGGACGGGCATTAAACTGTGCTCTCTGCTGGTTTTGGTTTTGTTTCTTTTGGGGAGGGTTTTTGGTGGGGGTTTTTGTGCGTGGTGGATTTTTTTAGTTATTTATTTTTTGTTGTTGATTTTTTTTTTTTTTTTACATTCTCTGAAGGGATTTCAGTTGCTCTTTCAGCCCTGAGTGCAACACAGCTTTGCGCTGTGGAGCTCTTTTAATCTTAACAAGGACAGATGCGACAGCACAGAGGCTGCTCAGGGATGTGCTGATTTGGTCCATATGATTTATGCTTTTTGAATGTATGTTGCATCTTAGGCAGTAGCGTTGGGACATTGAAGGCTTGGGAACATTTCTCTGCTGTGCATTTGCATAAGCCACCCTGCATGTAACGGCATTGCCCCTTTTCACTGAGCCTTCTGTTCAGGAGCCTGAGCATTTGTGAGTTTGGTTTCAGTACTGGAAACCAAGGCCTTAGACCCTGGGGGGCGACGCTTTGCGGTGGCGTGAGCTGCTTTTCTCTGGCCTGAGCAGCAAATAGCTTTTACAAGGACGCCTTTCGCTAGTGAATTTTCTCTAGATCAAATGAACGGTGCCCAGATAACAGAGTTTTCAAGACCTGACCTGGGGTTAACGAACCCCAGGACGACGAGAACTGTCACTGCGGTTTCCTTGACGGCCCCGGCGTGGTGGTGTCGGTGTGACGGGATTGCTCTGAGCCGTGTGACGTTGCTCTCTCTCTCTCTCTTACAGTGTGAAATACATTTCCTGCTCCCTGCTCATCCTTCACGCTGAGGATGACCCGGTGGTCCCGTTCCATCTGGGCAAGAAGGTACGGCCGGGGCGCTGCAAACGGCTGTGGTGGGGGGAGGCGGCGCGGGTGGAAGGACACCCCAGCCGGGCGAGCGGGCGGCGGCAGGACGCTGTGTGTAGAAATGCGTAGCCCGAAGGGACTGCAAATTCCGTGGTGTTGGAGGTGCCAAATCAATAGTGCAGTGGAGCTAGAGCGAGCGAAGCTGGTCAAGCCGGGGCCCGTGACTCACCCCTGAGACGGGCGCTGGTTTGGCAGGGTTAGCTGGTTTGGAGTGTCCCTCACCTGCCTTCCCTTGGACTCAGCTTTACAACATCGCTGCAACGTCGCGGAGTTTCCGAGACTACAAGGTGCAGTTCGTTCCGTTCCACACAGACCTTGGCTACCGGCACAAGTACATCTACAGGAGTCCAGAGCTACCTCGGATACTGCGGTAACGGCGCGGCGTGGGGCTGGGCGTGGGGCTTTGGGCACCTCTTCTGAAAACCCCTCTGGTCGCCGGGGCGGGTGAGACAGCGGGGCCGGCTTAGCGCGGCCGGAGCTCCCCACCGCCCCGCGGGGCAGATGGTTGGGAGGGGGCGGGAAGGTGGGAGCGGTTCTCTGCGGCCCATCTGTGCTGTGAGCTGGGCGCTCTGGAGGAGCTGCTGCTGCTGCTGCTGCTGCTGCTGCTGCTGCTGGGCGAGAGCAAAGCGCCGTGCCGTTCCCTGCGGCTGCGAGCACTCGAGCCCCGGGGATTTTTGGGGGGCGGGGGGTGGGAAACGGGGAGACCCGCAGGCTGCGGCGGAGCGCAGGAGAGCGGGGCGTCACTGCTGTGTCGTTGCCTTTCCCAGGGAATTCCTGGGGAAATCCGAACATGAGGATCGTCACTGAAGACCGGCTGCTCTGGCAGCGCAGAGATCCTCCTTCCCTCCCTCCCTCCCTCTCTCTCCTTTCCCTCCCCTCTCCCTGTGGGTCGGTCTGCCCACCCTCCACCCCTGGCACTCGCGGTGCCCGGGGATTCCCGCTCCAGTCCTGATGTGTGTACCCTTGGCAACTCTAGCTCCTGGCATCAGCGCCTGTGATGGTAGAAGAAAGAAGCTGTTGACTCGTTTTTATTTTATAAATTTTTTTTTTTTTTTTTTGACATGGATGGAGGGAGGGGTGGTAACAGCCCAGGAGCCAAAACCAAGCCGTGAGAAATGTAAGCACACCAGAGCCTGGCCGATCCAGCGCCGTACCGCTGAGGACAGACATTCCTAGGACACGCGTGTCCTGACCACGGGTGTTTCTTTCACTTCCAAACACTGCTGCTGTTTTTGGATCATGTAGAGACTCATGTGTAGGTGAATGGCTTTTGCCACGTCTCCAGACCACAGTTGTCCTGCTTGAGTTTGAAGTGTTCTCTTTCTAGGAAATACATGTTTTGCTTTTACTTTTCGCTAAGTGGCTGTAATTACAAATACACGGAAGATCCAGGTGGTGAGAGGTATTTTTATTTAGCTCTTCAGTCACAATGTGTTGCAAGTGTTGGGGTAATTGCACACATTTGGAAATAAAATGATTTTTTTTTTTTTTTTTTTTTTTTTTTGTTCCTTTTCAAATGCCCCTTTAGCTTTTCTGTGCCCTTTTCCCTCTGGGCAGCATTTTGGCTCCCATCCCTGCTACCCGCTGTGGAGCTCCTCCCCTTCTTCACATGCACTTTGTTAGGCCTGAAGTGACTTAGGTAGATAAATTGCAAATTTGGGAGTTGAAGCTGGAAAGCAGGAGGTTACGTTTTTGCTTCATCTCGCCCTTCCCTGAAAGGTGGGGGAATGGGTGTCTCCGTTCTCCCCCTGCACACCCAGACCCTCCTGTGCTTCCTTCGGGTGGGGGTGCAGGGGGTTTGTCCCCTCAGTTACCTTTGAACTCCTTCACTTTTCCCCGGTCCCGGGGGCTGCGTTGTTCCCTCCCAGTTAAAAGCAGGCAGCCCTACGCAAAAACCTTGCAGATGCAAAAATAACAGTTTGGGGTGTCCCTCCCCTGGCCCCCCCCTCCTGTGCCCTGGGCACCCCCGGCCCATCGCTCCGCCGGGCTTGGGGCAGGTTTTCCAGAAGTGGAAACGAGCCTTCCCCCACCTTCCCCCCCCCCCCAGGAGAGGCTCTAGGGCTGCCCCCGCCCGCTTGGGGCTACGCTGGGAGCTGGTTTAGACTGGGACCTGGTTTAGGCCAGGAGCTGGTTTACACCAGGAGCTGGCTCAGGCTGGGAGCTGGTTTACACTGGGACCTGGTTTAGGCCGGGCCGAGCTGGTTCAGGCTGGGAGCTGGTTTACACCGGGACCTGGTTCAGGCTGGGAGCTGGTTTACACCGGGACCTGGTTCAGGCCGGGAGCTGGTTTACACCAGGAGCTGGCTCAGGCTGGGAGCTGGTTTACACTGGGACCTGGTTTAGGCCGGGCCGAGCTGGTTCAGGCTGGGAGCTGGTTTACACCAGGAGCTGGTTTAGGCCAGGAGCTGGTTTACACCAGGAGCTGGCTCAGGCCGGGAGCTGGTTTACACCAGGAGCTGGTTTAGGCCGGGCCGAGCTGGGGTGGCTGGTGGGGGACCTGGGCCTCTCCCCCCCCCCCCCCCCATCAGTCCATGCAGCCAGTACCTGGTGCCGTAGGTCTCGCTGTGGGGCTGCCGGGACCCTCGCAGCCGCTCAGCCTGCCCCCGAGCCACGGAGCTCCCACCGACGCTCTCCCCCCAGTCGCGTGGTCGCCCCTCGGGTTCCCGGCCCCTCCTAAGCTCAACCGTGCCGCTCAAGCCGCGGTCGACGCGCTCGTGTTTATTGCACCGAGGGAAGAGGAGGCGCTTAACTGGGCTCTGGGGAGCGATGGGCACGTTCCAGCTCAGGCTGTGCGGGGCTCAGCCCGCGGCCCCAAGGCCGCCCTTCCCCTTCGCAGCCCGGCGCTACGCTTGGAAACTGAAACCCCAATGTTTTATCTAAAAAGCGGTGAAAGTTTTAATAAAGGCACTGACCGCGGGTCGCTTCAGCCCTTTCACCTGGCGGGTTCGGGGAGCCGAGCTCGCAGCTGGGACCCGGCCGGTGTTTGTGGCTGCTGCCAGCTCTGGGCGAGCGGCTTTTCCCTGAGCCCGGTGGGTCTGTGCCTCTGCTTCAGGGTCTGCTCCCCCCCCCGGGGACAGGGAAAGGGGAGCTGCCCAGGGGCATTTCCAGCCCGGGAGCCGCGTGTGCCAAAGCAGCACTGTAACCCCCACGCCGGGGAACCGCCGCGCAGCTGGGGAAGGCCAGCAGCTCGCTTGGGGGTGTCCTGACTTTTTTTTTTTTTTTTTTCCTGCAGCCTGCACCCCTCGCAGTTAGTCACCAGTCAGCCTGAAGTCGAACCAGCAGGTGGTTGTTTTAATGAGTTGGTGTCACACAGGGGGGTTACTGGTGGGCTCTGCGGGTGTTAAAACTCTTGACGCCAGGCCCAGGGAGGGACACGCGGAGCGCTGTGACCCGGCTCTGGAGGGACACGAGCTGTGGTACCTTCCCCCCCCCGCCACCCGGGGTAGCACCCAGCATCCAGCTGTGCTGGGGCGGGTACAGCCCTCTCTGTGCAGGCCAGGAGGATAAAATTCCCTGGAAGGGCTGGCTTAGAGGGCTTCTGGCTAACAAAGAGGTGTGGGAGGAGACCCTGACCCCAGGCCCTCTCGCCGCCTCCTTGGAGCACGCAGCACTGGGGAGCGGTGCCTGCCCCGGGGGCTGGCGGCCCCACGGGAGGAGGATGCAAGACCCCCCCCTCTGCTTGTGGGGCAGGGTGAGGGCGGGCGGGCCGGGCCGCGGGCGGGAGGAGGTGGAGGAATGAGCTGCAAAGCCTCTGCGAAGCGTGGAGCGCAGCGGTGGAACGCGCCGGGCTAAGCGCGGGCAGGCTGGAGGCGTGGGTGCAAACACGGGGTCCTTCCTCCTCTCCCCCAGCTCCTGTTCCTCGCTCAGGGCTCCTCCCCAGAGCAGCTCTCTCCCCTCCCGGAAGGGATGGGCCTTGTTTCTTCAAAGCGGAGCCCATCCCTCCTTCCTTCCCTCCGTGCTTGCGTCAATCCCGGGGGAGGTTGGGCGGGGGGATTTTTGCGGCGGAGGGCTCCACACCCCAGATATCCCGGGCGTACTCCGTGATGGTCCTGTCACTGGAGAACTTCCCCGAGCACGCGATGTTCCTGATGACTTTCTTAGTCCACTCCCGGGGGTTCTGGGAAGAGGAGAAGCAGCGTCAGCACGGCCAAGGACGCCGTCCTTCCTTCCTTCCTTCCTTCCTTCCTTCCTTCCTTCCCCTCCTCGGCTGTGGGCAGCTCTTACCGTGAACAGCTCGTCCACTCGGCCCTGGCATTTAACGTAAGCCTCGTAGTCGGCAAACACCTTAAACCTGGGACCCGAAGCAGAGCAAGGGCTGAGGTTTGCCTGCTCCGGCGTCCCGGCCGCGCTGGGCAGGCAGGGAACCCGGGCCAGCTGGCGACGAAACTTCGCGGCCCGCCGACGGGGGGGGGGGGGGAACGCTCGCCGGGACTCACCTGTCGTGGTACAGCAGCATGTTCACAACGTCCTTGAAGCAACCGGGGTCTCGAGGGGAGAAAAAACCGCTGCCGATCTGGTCGACAGCCTGGCGCAGCTCCGGCAGGCGCTCGTAGTACTCCCGGGCGTTATACCTGCGCCCGGCAGGGACGGGCTGTAGGGACCGACGCTCTCCCCGCTGGGGCCCACGCGCCCCGAGAGCGGGGACCTGCCGGGGCTGGGCCAGGGCAAAGCTGCCGTACGGCTCCTGGGAGCCCAGTTCCTGGGGCTGGGCCGGTCAGAGCGCGCTGCCAGCGGCTCCGAGAGCAGCTGCGGTGCCCGAAACCGCTTTGCGCCCAGGCTCCCGTCCCGTCCCCAGCCGCTGCACCACCCGGACCAGCCCAGGGTGGAGGCTGCCTCCAGCCCTCCCAGCTTCTTCCTGCCCCAGCGCTGCCCAGCAAGGAGGCCGGGCCCTCTAACCCCACCTGACAAGCCCCGGCGCGCGTCAGGCTCTCCCCAGCACCAACCCTCGGCGATCCAGTGCCTCCACGTCCTCCACCCGCATGCCGAAGATGAAGAGGTTTTCTTCATCTGCCTCCTCGGCCATCTCCACGTTGGCCCCATCCATGGTACCGATGGTGAGGGCCCCGTTCACCATGAACTTCATGTTGCCGGTTCCCGAGGCCTCGGTGCCGGCCGTGGAGATCTGCTGGGACAGATCTGCCGCTGGGATCACTGCCGGGCGCAAGAGAGGTTGGAATTAATCCTCGGCACACTGCAGCTCCCCACGACCTGAGCCCGGGACATCGGAGACAACCCCAGGGAGCTGCTGGTGGCCCTGCTGACCTTGCCCTCAGCCCCGAGAGCACGGCCCCAGGGCCAGAGCCGAGCTGGGCCCTGCTGCCAGCCCCGTCACTCCTTCCTGACCTGTGCGGAGCCCTCGGGCCCTGCCCGAGGGTGACCTGCCATGACAGCCTCGCGGGCCAGCCCGTTTCTGGGCTCAGCTGGGACATGCCCAGCTCCCGGCGTGCGCTGACAGGAGACCAGACGTACCCTTCTCGGCCAGGGATACCCGGTAGTTCTCCAGGAAGATGACTTTGAGCCTGTCCCCCACATAAGGATCGTTGTTGACGACCTCACCGATGGACGTGATGAGTTTGATGATCATCTTGGCCATGTGGTAGCCCGGGGCCGCCTGAAGAAGAGCAGCCCAGGAATGGTGAAGGCTTTTAAGGAAGGGAGAGCACGAGAGGCGCCGGTGCAGGTCCTCACCACGGGGGGAACTTGGGCCTCACCTCTGGTTTTGCACATGGATTAGCAAAAACGCCCTACGGGGAGGGGAAGTCCCGAGCCACAGGGAGTGGCAGGGCCTTGTTCAGTCTGGTTATTAGCCCCTGACCGCGGTTCCCGACGAGCTGCCAGCAGACCGGTGCTGGCTACCTACAGCGGGCCCGGCCCAGGCACAGCACCCTCCCCACGCCCCCGCCGCGCCGCGCGAGCGCCGAGCCTGGAATGCACATTACCTTTCCTCCAATCATAATAGTCCTGGGCACAAAGGATTTGGACGGATCGCTTCTGATGCCTGAAAGAGCAGAGTACAACACAACCGAAGTGAAGATAAACGAGAGTTTATCGCGTGCATCAGAGGTGGGCTGGGATCCCAGCCCGTGTCACGTGGACCCAGGAGACCTGCAGGACCCTGAACTCCAACCAGCCACCTGCTGGAGCTGGGCTGGGCAAAAAAAAATGGGCTTCCGAGTCCTCAGAGGACTACTCAAGGCAGCGGGAGGCAAAGCTCCGGTGGCTTGGCTCCCTCCGGGAACGGGCAGGGGCCCAAAGCATACACGGGGGAGCGGGTTTTAACTCGTACCAGGTCAGTCCTAACACCTGCAGCAGAGGTGTGGGGGTCACCTGGGCCCTGAGCTTCTCCCCACGAGCTCTGTACGACCCTTCAGCCACTCTGCCTTCCCTCCTGGAGAGAAGCCCTTCCCGGCAGCAGGGCGGAGCTGGGCTCAGGGGTCCCTGGCCACCAGCTGGCACACTCCTAGAGGGAAACCCCGGCAGTGGGAAGCTGTGGGGCGCCCCCCTCGCCTACCAGCCCAAGCAGGACTCACGGTTGTAGAGGGTGATGGCGTGCAGGCAGTTCAGCAGCTGCCGCTTGTACTCGTGGATTCGCTTTACTTGAACGTCGAACATGGACGAAGGGTTGATCTTCACCTTGTACTGCTCCTCCAAGTAGGCTGCGAACTTCAGCTTGTTCTCCTGGCAAGAAAATCCGGTGAGGAATAGGCACGGGTTCCCAGGCTTTGGGGGTTCCCAGGCTTTGGGGGTTCCCAGGCTTTGGGTGGGAAGGGAGTGTTTGCTGCTGGGATGTTCCTGGGGGCGCGGTGCCTTTGGCCTTCTTCCCCCCACCCCGCCTCCAGGGCACCGTTACCTGTTTGACCTTTGCCACATCCCTGATAAAAGTCTCATTATTGATGAAATCCAGTAGCTTCTTCAGCTGGCTCAGGTCTGTGATAAAGCCTTCCCCGATTTTCTAAAAGAACAAACCAAGAGAGGGATGTCCCGCCCGTGAGACCCCTCGCCCAGCCCACAACTGCGCTTCCCCAGCGGAGACGCCACGGTCCCGCTGGGAATTGGGACAGGCACTCTGGCCAGGAAAAGGAGCAGTTTCTTATGGCGAGGTTACTTCTCTGTGTCCTCAGGGAGCCCAAGGTACAGAGGAAACAGGGCACGCACTCAGAAAAACCCGACCAAGTCCCTGTCTCTCAAGGAGCTTTAGAGGGAGGATGTGGGCATGTGTGCCAAGGCCCCCTGGCAGCTGGAGAAACTGACGGGCGGGACATAAAGATACATTTAATCGCAGGATGTTGTTGAGCTACGGCGTATCGCAGCGTGAAGCAAAAACCTGTGCCAAAGGGGGCCTGGTAACCGAAGGAGGCAGGACTGGGGCTGGAGCTCCAAGGAGGCTCCTTTGCGCCTGTGAAGCTGAAGGCTTCCGCAGACCCCCCGTTCCACACACCACCGTGCTGCCCAAGAGCTCGTGCGCCGCCACCGCCAGGGCAGGGAACCAAATTCAGATTTCTGCAACTTTTTCGACCGGCTCTTCATCACCGACTTTAAAGCCCAGCCAATCTCACACCTACGTGTGCAGCGGAGGGGGGGGGGTGCTCCTCCCAGCCCGGCGTGAGCCTCGGGTCTGGTCACAGCACGCAAAGGGATCGGAGGCAAACGGATCCCGCTCAGCCCCTCGCGACTCACCTCGGCAATAACGTCAGCCAGTCCTGGGTTGCACAGCAGGAGCCAGCGCCTTGGCGTGATCCCGTTTGTCTTGTTCTGAAACTTCTCGGGCTCCAGCTCGTAGAAATCCTTGAACCTGGAACGCCAGGGAGCTCTGAACCACCCAGCGCTTCAGCTGTCGGTGCTCCTGGCTCAGGGCAGTCTCTGCGGAGCTCCCCTGCAAGGGGTGCGCGCGCTCTCTCCCAGCCCTCAGCCCCCTTCCTCAGCCGTGCCGCTGCGGGTTCCACCAGCTCCAAAGGGAGGTGAGTTAAGACCACCTTGCGCCCACGCTAACGCGACAGCCTCCCCAGTCTGCCGTGCCCCGGGGGTCCCCCAACTCACACGGAGTTCTTCACGATATCCGAGTGGATGCGGGCCACGCCGTTGACCGCGTGGGAGCCAATGACGCAGAGGTGAGCCATGTTAATACGTTTGCAGTCGCCTTCCTCGATCACCGACATCCTCCGGAGCCGGTCGATGTCCCCAGGGTAGAGAGCTGCCACCCGCTGCGGGCAGGAAGAGGGACGTGAGCGTCCCAGCCACAGCACCGAGGAACATTCCCCTCCTCAGGGCAGCCAGATCAAGGCCCCCCCCCCCGCCCCCCCAGAGCTCCCCCAGCCTGCGGCCAGCCCTGTCCCGTACATCCAGGTGCATTTGGTTGAGGGCATAAATGATCTCCAGGTGACGCGGCAGCAGCTTTTCAAACATGGAGACTGGCCAGCGCTCCAGGGCTTCGGGCAGCACGGTGTGGTTGGTGTAGGCGCAGGTCCGTTTCGTGATCTCCCAGGCCTGCAGGACAGACAGCGGGTTAAGGCACGCGAGCCCAGGCCAGGAGAGGAAAGAAAACCCCGTGTGAGAGGGCAGGACAGGAGAGCAGCTCTTTCCCCTGAAAGGTTTGGCGTGGACCTCCCAGCTCTGCTTACCTTGTCCCAATCCACTTTCTCCACGTCCACCAGGATCCGCATGAGCTCTGGGATGGACAGGGCGGGGTGGGTGTCATTTAGCTGGATAGCCACCTGCAACACAAGACTTGCTGGGCTCAGACCTGGCAGCAGCGGGGCTGTGGCAGTGTCCCACGGGCGTGGGGTTGGGGTGAGGGTCAGCCCCACGCTTCTCCTCACGGCACACGCTCCAGAAACAGAGAGTTCCCGAGAACGGAGCTATTCAACCTTCACAAGTTTTGCTCCACATTGCAAATTTTCCCCGGGGAAAACAGGCCCAGAGATCACCCGTTTTCCAACCCAAATTGCCAAGGTCTTTGTACATACACCCTCACTCGGGCCTGAGCATCCTGCTCTCCCTCGTGACAGGCAGCTCTGGCTGAAACACCCCCCCCCCCCCCAGACACTCTCTGCCCAGAAACTCACCTTGTCTGGAAAGGTTTCAAAACATGTTCTCACAGGGTCTCGACAGCCAAATTTCGAGGACTTAAAGCGGCGGATGATGTCTTGAAGGGTAGCAGCCACAACAAAGTACTCCTGTTTCAGCCGCAGCTCCTTGCCTTCGAAGAACTGCAAGGGGAGGCCCACAGCCGTCAGTGCCGCAGCTGCCGTCCCCCGTTGGCAGCCAAACCCCTAGAGATGCTCCTGTCCGCTCTGACGGGCTTCCCAACAGCCCTCGCAGGTTGAGCACCTCCTCAGGGCAGCTGCGGGTGTTTCTCATACTGCCTCTGATGGGGCAGCAGCTGTAGGGATTCACAGGAGGCTCAGCATCCCAACCGGCCGCCTTGGGACAGGAACAGAACCTGCCGCAACCAGGCTGCCTGTACAGAGCAAGCGCAGCTCCCTGCCTCACCGCAAGACCCTCCGCAGGGTTTTGGGACCAAGGAGTTTGGATTCCCCTGCAATAGCCAAGAGCCAGCTGCCCCCCCAGGCACGCTACACTTCACGCTGGTCTATTTTAAAACACCGGCAGGAAACGAGACAGTGGGGGTGAAGTGCAGGAGGTGAGCTTTTCCAGCACAGGTGCTGATAGTGAGGGCTCTTCCCTTTTGGATCTGTTGCCCAGCAAGTGCATGGCCCGGGACAGTCCTTGCAGTGAGAAATCCCATGAGCTGGGGCTGGAAACGAGTCCCCCCTCATGGCCGCCTCTGAAATGACAACTTCCTTTTGCAGAGGGTAGCCGCGTAAACTGGCAGCTGCCTTGAATTTGGAGGAGTAATGTCCCTTCCCCTCCCTGCAGCACGGAACAGGGCAGCTATACAGTATGGGCCAGGCTCTCAGCTGCCGTCAGAAGCCCTCTGGAGACAGCAGGGCTGCGTCTGTTCACCGAGAATTGCAGGGCCAGCCTAGTGTATTGAAAATCCTCAAACCAGAACAGTAAACATCAGGTGGCCGTGGCCTCCCAGTGCTCGCAAACCCGGCGATACAACTACAGGGAGGATGATCCCGAGCAGCAGGGAAGAGAGGCAAGAGAGTCACTCACGTTGTCATTTGGGTACAGGACTCTGGATATGTTTTCTGCCAGGTTTCTGTCCAACACCGCCTCGATGTAGTCACCCACATTGACTGCAGCGAGAGAGGAACACACGCAGCACTGCAGCAGCTGCTGAGGCTCAGGCAGGTCCCTGACACTATGCCTCCCCCTCTCCTCTCAGAGAGAGGTTTGTAACAGGAACATTCAGGCTGGTGTTAAATATGAACGGGAACGTACATGTGTGAAAGGCACCAGAGAGACAGGAGGAGACAGGATAAAATAAAAGCACATCTCCATGCAGTTTCTTGGGACACACATATCAAGAAGGACAGAGAGAAATTGAAGACAGATAGCAGCCAGAAAAGGCAAAAAAAAGGGAAGCGAGTGACCAGGCATCTTCCTTAAGGACTAAGGAGAAATGGGGCAGGGCAGAGAGGCACGAAGATCGCAACCACACTCGGCTCCTACAGGGTACAGGGGGCTCACGTGAAGCCCGGCGCTCAGCTGCCGATTGAGAATTGAGGAGCCATCACAAAGACTCGAGAGGCATCACCCCTTGAGAACACAAGTTCTCCTGGCAGGGCCGCCTGGGCACACGCTCTGTGCTTGCCAGCATGGAAGAATAAAATCGGTCTAGTCTAAAGCCTTCCCCTGCTCTAGCAGCCCAGCACTATTTGGTCTGTTAGTTGCCCTGCGCCTGCTCTTCAGCGCTGCAATTAGAGCGTGAAAAACGCACTAGAGAGGTCACATGCAGAGCCAAAGTTAAATCGACAGTACGGTGGGCTGGGCTGCTCTTTTCCTCCAGCGCTCGGGGATGCTGCTGCACAGACATGACCCTCCACAGCACGTGTGGGTTTGCAGCTCACTCGGTGATGTGGGGGGACGCAGTGGCAGGCGGTCTGTCGGGGGGGGAGGGCACAGGGCTGGGTTTGCAGAGCACGGTAAGCGGGATGGGGATGGGAGGAGGAAGGATGGGTGTCCTGGTGCGTGAGGGCTCTGGAAGCGGTTGGAGGTGGCGTGATCCACGGAGGCACACACAGCACTGTGTTCTGGAGGTAGCCAGGAGGTAGGGATAAAGCAAACCAGAGGGGGAGTGCTGTGCCAGGTGCTACGCACGCAGGAACACCCACGTCCCAGCCTGGAGAGAAGCACTGGAGGGAGAGCACTTACACTCTTGGAGGTTGAAGTCATTGGGCGCTTTCGCAGACCACAGCCTCATGGTGTTTACGGTGTTGTTCTTGTACCCTGGCACCGGTGTGTCGTAAGGCATAGCGAGGACAACCTGCAAAAGGACAGTATTCCCCTCTGATGAGCAGCACAGTGGCCTCAGAGAAGGTGGGAAAGCGGCTGAAAGCTCTGCAGGAAGAATCCAGAGGGCATAAACAGCTCCTGGCTGTGGTAAAAATCTCACCCCGCTAAAAGACACCTGCTGAGCTCCACAGGCTTCCCTGCTCTCCTGGGCACTGCCAGCACCCACTGGCAAAGCGTTAATAGGAGAAGCAGAGCTGTTTGGAGTTTTACTGACACACTGGAGTTACAATCCCATCAATGAAATGTAAAAGAGTGTTGCAAACAAGCTGCTGACCTTCCTAGACCAACCGGCATACATCTTAGTTATTCACTGCAAGCATCTCAGCTGGCCACTGCAATTCTGTCTGTGCTGGGGCAGGGCCAGGGCATCTGGGACCTTCGTGTTTCCATCTGGGATAAACTCCACAGCCTGAATCTTGCCTGTTTGCCAGGACCAAACCCCACCACCATTGCCAGAGCGACGTTCAAGGTTTGGTGAATCTGCCTGGGTACATCCACCGAGGTCTCCAGCACCTGAACCGCACACGAGTACAAACCTGTTAGTGTAGTCTACAGATGATGCGTGAGCATCAGGATGCTGCACACACGGCTCCTGACTCAGATTACACTAGCCAGGCAAGGCATGGTTGTGCTTCCAAGAATGTGCGCTCCAGCTCACTGCTGTGCCAACATCTACGTGCCTCCAGACCTGCTGAGCAGCAAGGGAAGGCACCCTGACCTCAGCCTGGAACAGAGGGCCGAGGGTTTATGCCAGCATAGCTGAACAGTGCTTGCAGAGTAAGGCCCTGATCCCGCAGCACAGAGCCTGGGCCACCTCTCTGACAGAGGCAAAAGGAGCCAGCATCCTCCTGAACAAGTCAGTGTGTAATGGCATGGCAGCCCGGGAGCCAGAGGCTGTCCCCAAGCAAAGATGTGAGAGGCAGGAGAGAATTGAAAGTGCTGTGCTCAGAGGGCAGGGAAGAGCCAGGCGGATCAGCACCTTGGCCCTGAACAGCCTCTTCGTGCTGGCGTCGGCAACACCTCCCGTCTGGGGAGAATCAGTAAGAGCTCAGGTTCTCAAAGCTGCTATTACCAGCTCCAACCACGGAAGCAGGCAGAAAGCCTGTCCTGCCTGAGCCACAGGACTGGGGCACCCATCCCATGGACTGAGCAACGCTGTATCTGGAGACCGCGTCTCTGGCTTTTTTGAGCTTTTCCAGCCTGTTCCCTTAATGGCACTACTGGAAAATTCACTATCTGTTTCCACTGCACTGCTTGGGATCCCTGAAAAAAATCACTGTTTCCACTGCACTGCTTGGGATCCCTGGAACCCCGGGCTACCACCGGGGTCACAAGAGGAGCACACGGCAAGGCAATGACACTCGCTCCCCAAGTGGATGTCTGCGTCCCCAGAGCTCTGGCACGGTGCCTCCACGCTGCTCACGGGGCTGTGGTGCTGAGCCCCTGCACTGTACGTGTCCTGGGAATGGCCTAGGTCACTGCACAGCCTTCAACAACCAGGGTCCCTGGAAAAGGACTTGGCTTGTTTATCCTCTGAGTGGGCCCAGGCGACCCTGCAACTGAGCTCTTGGCACTGGAGAGAACAGCTTGTGCCCCTTGGAAGGACAGAGCTGGCTCATCAGGCTGAGAGCCCTGAACATCATGGGAACAAGGCCAGGCCGTGTCCCTAAATCCAAGAGGAATTCACAGTCCTCCCTTCCTCCATCCTGGGCAGTGCTTAAGACAGGAGAAGCTGAAACATCGTCAATCCTCTTGATAAATCTGTGCCTCTTTAAAGCTTGCCTTCCTCAGCTGCAAGGCTGGAATGCATTTACAATGCACCAGCCCGTGCTCTGAGCAGGCACATGCTCCTGAAGCACTGTGCCTGCGAAGCATCACCTCTACCTCCCCAGCTGTGGGAAGCTGAAGAACCATTTGCTCTCCACGGTGCCGCAGAACAAGGCAGACTGGGAGACTTGCAACCACTCCTCCAGCCTCCCCTGACAGCACTCTACCCATCGGGCCGGTCTGGGAAAGAGGAACTTGCTCCGATCACAGGAGTTAAACAGCCATGGGTTTGCTCCATGGCCAGCCCACAAGAGGAATCTCCACCCACAGCAGCAGTGCCAGAACCACCTGGGTTTGGGTGAGCAGTAGCCAGGAGCAGTGCGGAAGGAGCCTAGCACAGCTGCTGGGGGTACTGTCCTTCTCCAACATAAATTCATGTCAGACTGCGGGGCTTCACACTGCAGAGGAGGTCCCCACTGATCTAAAGTTACAGCTGTGGCTGAATGTCTTCCCTCTTTTCCCTCCAATCCTGCTGCAGCTGTAGCCAATAAAACCACCTTCGTAACTGCAAGCACAGCTGAAAGAGTTTTGCCAGACTGGCAGAGAAGCAAAGCCTGACCACCTCAGGCAGCCCAGGGACAGACTCTCTCCCTCCACGCCACCCTGGCCCATCCTCCCCCAGCCCAGCACTGAGGGAGACGTTGGTACCTGGGTGTCGATCCACTTCACGCCCTCAGGGGTGTGATCCACGCGGCCGTAGAAATGCACAGGGAGCATGTACTCGGGGCGTGCTTTCTCCCAGGGATTGCCGTAGCGTAGCCAGTCATCGGCCTCCTCCACCTGCAAGAGGCAAACGGGGTTCAAGTGCTGGCTTGTGTCTCCAAGGGAAGGCTAAACTAGGCTCTCTGAAGAGAGGCCGGTTTAAAAGCAAAGCTTTAGTAAGCTGGCTTTAAAAATATATGTGCAGAGGGCTCTAGAGGCCAGCTGGGCTTTTCAAAGCATGGACGACTACAACCCAACTGGTATAAATAAATCAGCCTCTGCAGGCTTGGCAGAGTTGTACAGGTTTAAACCATCCAAACGGCACAGACCGCTGCTCTCAGTCCGCCTCGAGGTCTTTACATCCAGATGGGCCCTGACGGTGGGATGTGTGCTGTTCCTGGCCACAAACCACCCGCTGTAACCCAGGTCTTGCTAACTGTTCCACCCTCTGCCAGAGAGGCTTTCTCCTCTCTGCTCACAGCAGCACCCGTGGGAGTGAAGTGGATTTAGCAGAGCCACCGAGGCGCTGATGTGCACCAGAAAACAGAGGGGCCGAGGCACCTGGAGATGCTCTGCGTCTGCAGGCATTTCTCTGCCAGGTGGAGGGCAGGGCTGAGCCACAACCCAGCATCACTACCACCCCTGGTTTTTTTTAAGTAACATTAAGCCAATTACAGTGGATGCTTTTTTTTTTTTTTTTCCTTGTTTTCACCATTTACAGGGCCAAGCACTGCAGCTTCTTTGTGGGGAAGGAGGCAAAAAGAACCCTCAAACCTCTCACTCTCCCTGACTTATGGAGAGCTATTTTAAGGGGTAAGAAAGGTCCTTTATGCTCAGAAGCAAGGCAAGTCTCCCAATGGAAACCATTTCCCAGCATACACTAGGGAAAACTGCCAGCTGGGGCAGGTTTTTAGCCTGTTTTCACTTGCAAAATGTTCATTAATGTTACAGGAGAGTCCCTGTTTAAGCCCCCGCCGCCAGTCTCCCAGGGAACCCACAGGAGCAGCTCTGCACGTGTGCCGTCATGTTCGAATTCATCCTCCACCGCACACCCTCACGAGATGTTTGGCCACATCTCCATCCTCAGCCCGACTCCTTGCCCGCTCGCTGCCAGGCTGGATAGGACTCTCAGGTTGTTGGAGCTGTGCTGTGGAGCCCTGGGCAGGAAGACCTCTTGTCCCAGCCACGTCCTGTGGGCTCAGCTCCAACACCACCCTGCTGGGTTGGTGACTGGTGTGGAGGAGCTTGTGCGTGTCCCTGGGTGAGTGCCTGTCACACACACACACACCCCCCAACCCTCATCGCTTCTCTTTGACCAGGCAGTCAAAGCCCTAGGGTCAGCGCAAGCGGGAGGAAGCGAGAGCCCATCTGGCACCAGGTGATGGGCTCAAATGGCCAGTTTATGAAAGAGCTCAAGGCACTGAAATGCCACTTGTGTGGCTAGGCCTTGTCCACAGGCAGAGGTGGCCACTGCAACGTGGAACAGAAGTTGAAAGGGTGAGTTGAGTTTGCCAATGTACCTGCCAGCCGTCGACAATCTTCTGATTGAAGATACCAAACTCGTAGCGGATGCCGTAACCGTACGCCGCCAGCCCCAGCGTGGCCATGGAGTCCAGGAAGCAAGCTGGAAGAGCAGAGCATGGTCGTGCTGTAAGAAACCTCACCCTCGCTTGCTGCTCCGGCTACGGTGCGCTGGGCACGGGGGCGAGGAGCTGCCACAAACAGTGCCGCTGGAAACTCAGAGGAAATCCATTAGCAGAAGGGAACAGCCTGCAGCAGGACCCCGTGCACGTCCTGCCGAGCCACCATGAAAGCCCCGAAGTTGTTGGTGACAAGGAGAGGTCACCAAAACCCCAAACCCAGCCTTGTCTCAGTGAGAGAGCTTCTAAACTTGCCCGAGGTGCCCACGCCTGCCTGCCCTGCAAAGCAGGGCTTCTGACCCCAACTCACCGCCCCACCAGCTACTTCACTATTATTCCTTTCCATTCAAACCCTTCCAGCCCTCAGTCTGGGGCAGCTCTGGTAAAGATCAGCCCCGGCGCTTCCTCCGCACTGGAGAGCTCTTGTCTCCAGCAGTCCCGTGGGACAGGCAGACTAAAATAGCAGCCAACAGTCTGCCTACATGAGAGCTGCTCGGGTGCCTCCAAAGTGAGAGATTTTACAGGGAGGTGAGGAAGAAGGCTCCAGACAGCCTTTTTCAGCCGCACCCCCTCCTGCTGTGCTGCAGGCTGCACAACCAATTCTCCTGGATGCTCTCACTGGGGAGAGGGCACGTTTCTGGCCAGCCAGGAGCAGGCAGGAGGGTTCTAGGCTGCTGAAGGGCTGTGGGGCAGTTGCAGGCCGAGGTCTGCGTGCTGTCCCACTGCAGTGCCCGTGGCAAGGGCGTGACAGCCTCCAGCCAGGCCAGCCTCTGGCCCCGCACCCTCCGTGCAAGGAGGGGACTCCCCTCTCCCTGTATTACCTGCCAGGCGGCCCAGGCCTCCGTTTCCCAGCCCAGCATCTTCTTCGATTTCTTCCAGCTCCTCCAAGTCCAAACCCAGCTATTGGGGAGAAGAGCCACAGCAGCACACGTCACCCCCTGATGCTCACGCCCAGGGGCTGCTCTCCGAGGAAAGCAAACACAGATCCCAAAGCAACCAACAGCACGGGGAAATTAAATCCATGGGGGCCTCTGCATGCCGCCCCCACCCCTCCTCACAAAGCACCTCACCAGCCTCAGCTCCCTGGGCAGCCCAATTAATTGGAAAACAATTTAGCCCAACATCAAACGTCGTTTTCCCAAGAACTACGTTTCCTTAGAGACCTCAAACAAAACACTTGCCTCCTGGCAGGCCCTCACGCCGGGAGGCCCTTCCACTGAACTCGCCGTTGGAGACAGGATGGTGAACGGCCAAGTCAGCGTGCAAGGGACCCCCAAGCCCTGCCCGGGTACGCGCGCCGCCCCTCCGCTTGCGCCCGCCCGGTCCCTGACGAAGGGCACAACCATGCTGGCAGCTGGTCTCTGCAGCGTTTGCTGTTACACTCTGTGCCTTCCCCTCATCCTGCCCAGCCTGCCACCAAGCTCCTTGGCCGGAGTCCGTGGCTGAAAGCGGTTGTCTCCTCTGCTGTATCTCTTGGGCCATTTGTTTTCTGGCCCCCGGGGGGCTGCTGCCTGGTGAAGGCTACGTGCGCCAGCAGCAAGGACTCTCCAGGAGTCGAGAGATGCTGCATCTCAGAGGGCAGCAGTATCTTCACCTCCCTGGCAGGGGTGACAGTGGGGAGGCAGGCTGACACCATGGCTGCTCCCCCAACCGCCCTCCCACCACTTCAGTGGTCTGTAACCACAAGCCAGGAAAACCTCATGCACAGTGTGACGGGGTCACCAAAAACCCAGGCGAATTCTCTCAGTGACAGAGCCATGTGGGGTACAAGAATTCCCATCCCAGCTGGCCACTGGCCACGACAAGTCCCACATGTCAGAGGCTACAGTGAGAGAATTCTCCGCTTGCACATCAGGCCAAAACAGCATGTGGAAAACGCCTTGCCAAGGGACTTGAAGATCTCCCTGAAAAAAAAAAAACAGCCTGCCCTCTGAGGCACGATACCTCCGAGAGGAAACATGTTGGGTCCCTCCCTGGAAATCCTTTCCCATCCCTTGGCAGGGAAAGTATTCATCAGGATGTTTCATCAGCAATTGTAGCACCTCATTTTGAGAGGCCGTGAGAGAGGCCCAGCTTCTGCTAGAAAGTATAACACGGATCTATCTGGTGGGATGGGGAGGAAGAGGAGGGAGGAAACAAAGCTTTTGGGTGAGAAAGCCCCAGAACTCACACTGTCAAAAAGGTCACTGACCTGCTGCAGAGGTGACCACAAGTCTAAGTAGATACGGCCTCGCATTTGTGATTGCCTTGGTGGTACTCAGCTGTGTTTTTTCCAGTGTGAACTCATCCGATGACATTTTAATTCAAGCAAACCATTTCCCCCCTTTTTCCCTTCCCAGTGATTCACTTTTATCTGGCAGTGCTGCTGCTGTGCCTTGGGTACCTGCATGTGAGCTGTAATTTGGTGTTTTGGTGCTCCAGTTTCCCCTTCTGGCCCAGCCTCCCCCGTGGTAAGCTAGTAATGGAAAGCTATTTGCAGCCTGGAACTCTCTAGTCTTTTGGGATACTGAGTGTTGCTTTCTGGATACTCTTCTGGATTTTCCCAGCCACTGCAGGAAAACAGTGGTTTGGGAAAACCACACTCCAACTCCCGAGGGGCCCCAAGGTCCCCTTGCGGTTTTCTCTAGGGGATGAAAACCCCTAAGAGACAACCCCTGCCTCGTTTGGTCAAAATAACACATCCTTAGGGGGAAGCCCTGAGAAATAAAGATACCCAGAGGTCCGCGTGGAAAAGTTCAGCCAGTTGCTCAGGGGGAACCCCAGTATCCCCAAGACTTCACCTGGTAAATGGCTTCATCGCAAGCATTCTGCAGGCCCAGGTTCACCATGGTGTTCTGCAGAGTGCGGCCCATGTAGAACTCCAGGGACAGGTAGTAAATGCGCTGGGGAGGCAAAGCAAGACGCTTACACACAGCACAGCACTTTGCTTTCACCAAAGTTGCTTAAAATTAAGAGCAGACCCGAGTGCTTTCCAGAGCATACATGCCTTCCCACAGCGGCTCTTGGCGCCCGCTCCTGAACACCACGCACCACCGTTTGTTTGTCAGAAGGATCTTGTGCGGGATGCTAGCCAACCCTCCGCCGCACATCTCCCTGCCAACAGCCTTCTATAGAAAAATCTCGTTGCCTGTTAAGTGTTTCCCTAATTAACTTAGGGCAAGAATTATCTCGGATGCTTGAACGGTATATTTATACGCTGTCAAGCTCTGCTGAGGGGATGCTGGGATTTTCAAGTTTTCCCATGCTGAGCTGACGCTGATCCTGAGCCTGCTGAAAGACAGAGCAAGCCCCCCGCCCCGCGCACAGCGGCCGGGCCCAGGGCCAGGCCCCATCCTGCTAGTGATTTTCCAGGACTCCCTATCGCACGGGTTCCTCCCGTTCTCCCCGTGCTGAGTTCCGCGCACACATTTCACCCTGCTGAACAAATAAACTGTCCACAGTTCCTGGCACAACTGTGCAAGACAGGCTGCTCTGCAGTGACCTTCCAAGTTTCAGAGGAGCTGTGCCTGTGCCACGAAGGCGAATGAAAGCCTGGTTGTAGGACGGGAAGCAGGCTGTGCAAACTTTTGCCCTCACTCAGATTTACTGCTATAAATATTTTTATAAATAAACAGGAATTTTTAACGGAGCAATAGCCTGACTTTAAATCATTCCTTCCCCTTGAGTCTCTTTCCTTCCCAGCTGGGAACTTTCTCCCCTAAGCAGCAGGATCACCCGCTCTGCCACCTCTGTTGGGAGTCCAAAAGGGTCCATCTGTTCCTTGGGGCTCACTGGAAAGACTAAAAACATCACACAGTTGCTTAAGTAGTCTGCTCCTTCCAGTCTCCCACAGGGACCCGTTTCTAGTGAAAAATTTAAGTGCAGGTGACAGTAAGCAAACCCACTCCAAGCTCCTCTTAGTCTTTACGGGATCTGTCCCACCTCTTCTGTTTGCACAGCAATACGGACCAGAGCGCATTTGTGCGGGCAAGGATAAAAGGCAGAGCTCCACACGCCGGCGTTACTCCCAGTGCATGTGCAGCCATACCGGTGTGAAAGTGCAGTTTGTTTCTTATGGCAAGGCAATAATTCATAACCCCAAGAAAAGAGCTGACTCGGGGAGGCAGCTGCCTGAACGCTGGGAAAGGTACGTGCCTTTTCTAGTATGCACCTGCCCTCTGGGGCTCTCCAGTTAAGTGCTGGACTGGGTCTGAATTCAGAAGGATAAGGCTGAATAACGCCCTGCAGCCCCCAACATCTCCAGCATCGCCAGACTGAGTTGACAAGTGGAGAGGAGAGGAGGGAGCAGGCTGAGTCCCCACAGAACCACCCTCTCCCTGGAGTTTGGTGACCTGGGAGAGCTCGTCTGGTTTCCACGAGGTAAGAAAACTCGTCTCCAGGCTCAAAGCTGAGCTGCCTGCAGGACCTGCAGGAGCAAAGCCAGGGCACGGCCGCGCTGAGGCACGCGCCAAGACACGGAGGCGACGATGCCCACGGCGGGACACCACCGTGGAGGTGCAAGACGTGGCTGTGGTGGAGCGTGCAGGGGAGCTGGAAGCAGCAAGACACACTCGCTGTGGGGGGGACGACAGGGGGACACGGCTGTGACAGCGTGGGGGGTCACAACGGTGAGGGTTCTTGAGGAGGGACGCGGCTGCAGCGAGGTTCATCGGGACGGGGCTGCTTGTGGGGCCACGGTGAACACGGCCGCGGGGACACAGCTGTGACAAGATGCGTGCAAGGGGCACGGCCACGGCGGTGCCCACGGGGACGCAGCCACAGCAGGGTGTTTGTGTGCGTGGGGGGGGGGGGGGGGGGATACGGCCGTGGCGATGTCCACGGGGAAGAAGCCACGGCGAGGCGCACACGGGAACGCGGCCGTGGCGAGGGTCCGCGCCTTGCAGCGATGCCCGAGAGGACGCGGCCACGGCGAGGTGTGCACCCGTGGGGACGCCCACGCCCGCAGCGACATCCATCAGGGAGGACTGACGGGAAAAGCGCATCCACTGCGGCCCCATCCCCCCGTCCGCCCACCCGGGACGCGGCTCCCACCCGCGGCGGCGGGGCCGGTGGGTCCCTCACCTTGGGGTCCCGCTCGTAGTAGTGCTGCTGGGTGCGGATCCAGCGCCCCACGAGGTGGTCGCGCACCGTGTGGGCCAGCGCGAAGTAGTAGTCGCGGGGGGTGGCGACGTTGCGGTCCTTGACGAGGGTGAAGTGGAGGTGGCGGTTGAAGCTCTTGCGCACCTCCGCCACGTCCCCCAGCCCCGCGATCCCCCGCACGCTGATCTGCTTCCGACGGTCCCCGTCGCTCAGCGGAGCCGCCATCCCGCGGGTTCTCCCTCCTCCTCCTCCTCCTCCTCCTCCTCCTCCTGCAGCCGCAGCCGGAGCCGCCGCGCTTGCGCCTCCGCGATGAGGCGGGGCCCGCGACATGGCGGGAGGCGGCTGAGGGGGACGCCGCCATTTTGTTCCCGCCCCCAGCGCTGGCGTGAGGGGACGGGGATGGCGCCAGGAGGCAGGGGCGGTGTGTGTGTGGGTGGGTGTGGGTGTGTGGGTGTGTGGGGGTGTGTGGGTGGGTGTGGGTGTGTGGGTGGGTGTGTGGGTGGGGATGATGGGGGGGCGTGAGGGGATGGGAATGGCTTGAGGGGGACAGAGAAGGCGGCGGGGGCTGGGATGGCAAGCGGAGGCAAGGGTGTCAGCGGTGGCAGGAGGGGACAGGGAGGGCAGCAGGGCACGAATTTCTCAACCCGCGCAGGCTAAAAGCCACACCACCAGCAGCGCCGCGCCGCTTCCATTTCAAACAGGGGTTTTATTGTCACTCCAGTGTGGGGTCCCCGGACCCTTGGCTGCAGAGCCAGCAGCAGCGCCTGCTGCCATACCACATCTTGCTGCCCCAGGGGAAGGACGAGGCTGTGGCCGTGAGCCCTTGAGTCCGGGCACGCACTGCTGGTTCTCCTGGAGTCTGGGCTCTTTTGCACCCCCAAAACTCCACTCGGGACTGCTCCAGACACCCATACAAATCCAACACGGCGGCACAAATAGCACTGCGTGTCCGCTACAGCTCCCGCTGCCTCTGAGATCACTTCCAGCCTGTGTACAGGACACTGCTGGAGTGGTGCATTGCAGCTAACCTGCCACGGCTCACTGCAAACATATTTATCAAAGTGAGATGCGTCTGCGGGCAGCGGCACCCAAAACACCATGTAAATGCATTCACCCAGGGCCCTGCATCAACCCTACCAAGGCACAAATGTCCGTGAGGTCCAATAAGCTGTGCTCTGGGTTTATTTTTGTGGCTGTGCCTTGTTCATCAGTCTTACCCTGACCGACTCTGGAACCATCAAATCCATCATCAGGCCTGTAACCAACTCCCAGGCCTTGCTCATCCAGCTCTGCAAATCTGAGGGTTTCTTCTACCATCCATCTCCCAACAGACAAGGAACCAACATTAGGCTGTAGCCTTTAACCCTCCAGGGCATTTTAGGCTCTGATTCATGCCTCTAAGTCCATATCCAGTTTCTGGAGTGCTCCTGAGCTTTTCTAGTTCAGCTTTCCACAAGCAGAGCTGAGACTTCCACACTGCGTTTCAAAGCTGCTGCCTGTCAGCAGCACACCTGTGTAAATGCACTGTCTTTGCACACACACACACACACACACACACACACGAGTTCACCTTCAAACACGGAAGTAATAAAATAAAACTCATCACCGAAAACTGCTGACAAAAAGGAAAAAACACCCTGAAATCAGGACAGCAGAGTTCCTTCTGGAGTGACCATTTCCTACAACAACTTCAGCACAGTACAAGCACATAGTACAGGCATATTCCAAAAAGGTGTGTTTTTCTCATAGAGATCACAGATGTCCTGCAGAGTGCTGGGTTTCCTTCAACAATGACCAAGTTTTACATCAAGTTGACTGCAGATGCTGTCAAGGCTTATTCTTTAGAGACTGCACCCTGAAGTGTAAAAAAGCTAGTGGTGGAGGGGACTTGGCAGGGGGTAGGAGGAAAGAGGCCTAGTTTATGATGACTTCCCAAAGGACTCCAGAAGCCAAAAGCAGGCCCTTCAACAGATTTTCCCATACTGGGCTTCCCTAAAACTGAGATTCCCAAAAGTCACCTTCAAGCAGCTTTAGTACTGCAGTCTGTTGAGTGAGTCGATGTAATGAAAAGTGGCTCCCAACGCCCAGCTCGTTTCAACATTGTCAATTTTCCGGGCAAGCTGGAAAAAAAAAAACAAAAAACAACAACGTCCAAACAAAAATTTAAAACACAATTCTTTGGGAGAACAAGCAGCATGCAAGATGAATACAGTGCCAAAGGTTATCACCACCAGTTATCGCCATCATGGGGACAGTGTCCTTCTACCCCAGTCACAGATTATGTGTTGTAGCAAGAAGCCAGATCAAGGACCCAGCTACTGGCACGATGACTACTGCCTCAGCACCCTCCTGCCCACTTTCCTCAGCAATCAATTTTGTGCATCACCTTAAAGACTTGGCTCTTCAGGAAGCCCAGTTCTTGCAGGAGGAAGGTGATGTACGTGAGGTCCATGCAGAGAAAAGGGCTGCTTCCAGGCCTGATTTCCATGGTCTTACATACTGCGGAGAAAGAAAACAGTGTCTGAATGCGCACTGTGGGCTCAGGCCTAGCATCAGCCCAGCTTTGAAAAACCTCACATGAACCAGTTGAGTTGCGCAGTGATGGAACCTGTTACAGTGGGGTTGAAACGACATGCACGCATTAGCAGAAGCACAAAACCTTTGGTGCGCTGGAAGGAAGATCAAGACATTCTGCCTCCCCCCTAAGGCAGCTGAGTTTCTTGTATCTCTCCAGGAAAGGATGCAAAAGGCCTCCAACTTTTCTTCGATCTACTTCAAGCCTTTAAAAATCTGAGCAAGCTCAGTTGTGTTACATTTCTCGGGTATAAGCACTCAACAGATGTTGACGAAACCAAAGAAAAAAGACAAAAGAAAAGAAAAGACAAAACCAAAATAAGCCCCACTCCCTTTCTCAGGATGAATTACACAAATGGTAGTCCAGAAATCAGAACTGCAACAACTGTTCAGTCATTCATAAAGTTTACCAAAAAGCCCCATGTCACTTTCATCAAAGCCCACGTCTGTGGTATTAAGAAAGGAATGTTTTAATTTGTAAATCTGCATAGGCTGTTCTCTCTGCAGCTGATGAAGTGAACAGCTATGAACCGGGTCTTCCTCCTTTTCTGATTAACAACCAAGCATATGAACAAGTTTTGAGACAAAAAGAAGAATTAAACCAGATTAGAATATTTTATGCTGACAGGACAGGAACCCCCACATCTATTTCGAAAGCATAATTTCAGGACAACTGTTAACTGGCAAGTTTATTAGTAATTCTTGAGAGAGTTCTGAAAGATAAGTATTATGTGTCTTATGTGGGCTGCACAAGCAAAAATTAATATAAAAATAATTGAGATTTTCAGAAATAAGCAGAAATGTTGGTGAGATGCTATGGAGAGAGGTGCTCAGTATTTACTTAAAAAAAAGCAGGCTTCTTAGCATGTCACACATTTGCCACCTAGGTATGAATTTACACACCGTTACTAGTGTGTGTTTGACTGTATTTTACTCACCATATTTAGCTGCAATTTCAAAGTCAGTGACGGTTAAGCTTCCTCCTTTTTCTTTATCTAAAAGAAAAATAAACGCAGTCTTTTATCATTTCTGTATAAATGCAACTGTAGGTTAAAGTAATAAAAATTGTTTGGAAATCAAACCTTGAGCCACTGAAATCAATGACAAAACTCATACTTGCTTTAAAGGTAAAAAAACCTTTTTCAAAGATTCCTCATAGGGATTGAAAAGCTTCGTTTTACGAAGAGCTTTTAGTTTTGTTTCCTACAGAAGCATAGTTTACAGACTCTCTCACCTTGTCCCCATGTCTGTGCTGCCCTGCCCTGTGGTGCCTGAACACAGTTAACACCTTTGACCAGATCTGACAGGGCAGTGGTGCTCTGCGACATATTAAATCTGAAATTATTTGTAAAACAAAGCGGCTGAGAAAGGGTGTATGTTTGTCCAAACTAGGCTGAGATCTCAGCATCAGCTTTCTACCACTGAACACAACAGCCTTCTGTACACCAGCATACCACTGGAAAAGAGACAGAGTGCATTCTGAATACATGTGGAATTACCTGAAAATCTTCATTCCATCTAAAAAGGTCAGTGAAGCAAAACACACAGCTCAAGATCATTTTACAGCTTTACCCCCTGAGAAATTTGTCTATCATTATGAGGTTTTTTTTTTTTTTCTATTTTGGATTGTAGAGTTAATCAGACAGCAACATTTTCTGAAATGCAGCTTGTTTAAAAACCATTAGTAGAAGTTGCAGGTCTTGTTTCACAGCCCCGGTCCCTCGCCTGTAGAAATTAAATATCATTCAATATCCAGTTGAGAGCAGTGCTGTACAGCAGTGTAACAAAAGACTAAGTTCCATGGCAGCTTAGCAAAGCATCGTGACGTGTCTAAGTGTTACCATTTCTCCACAACTTGTCATTTAAAATGAAATGAAAGCTGGAGCAAACATACCTATGAGACCAATCTCTGCTGCACGGTCATAGTAGTAGGAGAAAGTGTAAAAATCCAGGTCCTTCACTTCCTCAGCTTTATGCACTTTTTTGTAGAGCATCTTTGCCACTTTGTTAGAACAAGACTCATAGAGAGGCTCACCTAGAAGAAGGCAAAGAAACCCAGCATATTACAGGCAGAGAGTTAAATATACATACAATTTATTTAGGATCTGACAGGAAACAGGCTCCTTTCTGCACAATAGCACTTCGTAAGCTCTTCACAGAGAACTGAAATCTGCATCTTCTTCCAGTAGCAACGCTTACTATCCTCAGGCTGAGACTAAATATATGATAGATCAGAGATGGACAACATCATTTGAGGCAGAAGGATTTTGAAAGACCTGTTCAGAGATTGCTCAACTCCATCTGCATTACTACCAGCAGCTTTACTGACTGGACAGACACAGTGGAGCAAGAGGGAAAGAATCTCTTTAACAGCACATCAAGAGGAGCCAGACAGAACAGTAAACAGAGAATCTAGTGTCTTTGCAAGAGGTTGAGAGTATATCATTTACTCTGCTAATAGCATGCTGGCCTAGATAGGAAAAGTGATAAATCACTATACCTGCCTTCTGTCCTTTAATTTTGTACACTATCTCAGCATGTTGCCATTCAGATTTGAAGCCAGGTGGTAAACAAGGGCTGATCAATTCCTCCCCTTCTCCTACTGCAGAAGTAAAACAAAGCCACTTTAGGAAAAACATAAGGAGCTAATTTCAGAGCCCTCACCCCCAGCCCTGCTCCCATACTGTCCCACAGCCTCAGCGAGCCATCTCTAAGCCCCAGTCACGGCTCAGATGTCCCATGTCCCTCCCAGGGCTGGCAAGAATCCAGGTTTCCTGGGATCTGGCAGTGTCACCTCCTGCATTCATCTCAAATGCACCCAGCCATGGTGACAGGAGTCCACATACCACTCAGGAACCCTGAATCCAGTGTGAAGGGGACAGACAACTCCTCCCCCCACAACAGGGCTATGTACCCAATGCTGCAAGCCAAGACTTGAGGCGTGCCCGGCACTTACAGGGTTTTCCCTCAACTCCTCCTAAAATGGCAAGCCTTGCTGACATCAGCCCGAGTCCCAGGTAACTGCAAAGGGATAAAAGCCTCTGTGAACAACAAACATCCTTCCTTTGCTACTCCACGAACAACTTGGCTGCGACATGCCAGTCTTCTCTACGCAGTCCCAGCAAAATGGCTCAAGTGAGCAGCTAATGCACCTAAGGGGAACGGTGTGACAACCCACGCTTATATTAACCGTACCCAGAAAGATAATCTCTCTTTTTGAAAAAGCACAGGCAATAGCTGTCAACAGTAATCTGGCTCTTGAAGAACTGGGAATGCTGAAGGCACTCCCCTAACATTTCTCCTACCCTCCTCAAAGTCATCACAGCCTTTAGCATAGAGGATTGACTCTTTTTGAGCCCGAACACATCCCACAGCAAACATAGGTGGGAAGAAGCTGCTTCCCTCTCCCCAAAACACTGGGAGCGGGGGAAGACGGTGAGGAGGAAGGAATGGCAGAGACAAAGTGCTATGAACTGACTGCCACCCCTGTTCCTCTTCCTCCTGCACTGCTCTGCGGTGAGGAGTTAGAAGAGTTGAGAGTGAAGCTGAGCCTGGGAAGGAGGGAGAGGTCAGGGCAAAGTGGTTTTGATTTTGTTCTTACTTCTCATTGTCCTACTGTTTAATTAGAAATAAATTAAATTAACTTCTCTAAGTCGAGTCTGTTTTGCCCATGACGGTAACTGGTAAATGACCTCCCTGGTCCTTATCCCCATGAGGTTTTTGATATATTTTCTTCCCCCTGTCCTGTTGATGGGAGTGATGAGAATGGCTTGGTGGGTACCTGGTCAGCAGCCAGGGTTAATCCACTACAATGATGTGGCTCAGGTTTCTCTGCTTTTTCCCAGTACTCATTTGCAAAGACCTCACTTCAGCAAAACACCTGGATCTCACTGGCTTCGTAGAAAGTTTCTATCTGTACAGTGTGCTCTCTTTTCCACAACTAACCTGTACGAATACAACTTGTAGGTGTTGTTAAACATCTGAAACGAAGTTGTATGGCCAGCTGGTGATGTCTGCAGAGTTGCCTGGAGGGAGAAAAATATGTCACTGCAAGGTTTCTGCCAGCAGCAGCAAACATCAACAACACAATCTTCCAAAACATTAGGAAAAACGTGAAACAATCCTAGCATGGTTCAGAGAGAAATGGATTTGCAAGACCACTGATACAGAAGACAACCACAAAACCTGGATCTAAAACGGTGTCTTCACATGACAGTCTAGACTGGTTACATTTCTATTTGTATCCACACCAAATTGGTGTATAAAATAATTATTTTCATTAAAAAGGAGCCCTTATTCCAGCTCTTTACTGCTTTTGTCAAGAGGCTACAGCAACTGTCTCTTCACATGATCCCTACTAGGGAAAACTCTGTGCAAAACAGTATGAAAGCCAGGCACACATTAACTTCCTACTTGAGTGAATTCAACTGTGAACTTCCGCAAGCCAGAGGAAAAGCATGTCACTGTGCTTGCCAAGGAACAGAGTGAGAACCAGCCTATGGTCTAAAGAAATGAAAGGGTAATTATCTAAAGCACTTTGCAGCCTCTTGCCCAAGTGCACCAGCACGGCTAGTGTGTTTGTGGGAAGCAAAGCTCAGGCCATGGTGCCATTCGTGCTGCTCATATCCTAACACCACCTCCAAGTCCAGAATTTCCACATCCTGGGCTCTTCACATCCCCTGTCATTCTGCTGTAAGAGCACCGTATCTTGATTAGCTGAGGCTGGGACACTAAATACAGCATCCCAACCCTCTGCTTTTGTGCAGCTCTACTGTGGACAGAATCTCTGCTCAGGCCAGAGCCTTATGACTCCACATCCACAGGACTTCCAGCTCACAGAACACCTATAAAAATGCCACAAGAGGAAGCTGAAATGACAAACATCAGCACGTATTTTTTGCTGCGTAATAACAGTTGCTCCTTAGAAAGCATTCATTTGCAACTGAGTGAACTCAGGAAAACCAGAAACAAGGGTTGAGGAGGCATCTCACTGTGCTCTTAAAAGCCAATATAGGCCAAATGTTGGACTTGAATTCATTAACAGCATTGCCTTTGAGCTCTTCATTATAATCAGTACAAACTAAGAGCCAAGGATTAAGACGCTCAGGCAAACACTGCATCTTCCCCAAGATAAAGCAGCCCTGGCAGATTCACCACATTCATCACTGACCCGTGGAGTTAGAGGATCGACAGAGTTGTGAAAATACCTCTGTGACTGACTATAACAAGGCAGACGTGACCGAGTGACCTGTTTTTTTTCTGTCAAAAGTGTGGCTTCACGTCACACGGACCAACTCTTGGCCTGTTTCCAAGGGAAACAAACCTGAGCAGCTACTGATTTCCGCACCAGCATTTCCCAACAGCGTGCATGTTCACATTACCTCGGTGCGTGGAAGGAAGGTGATCTGTGTTGATCCACCACCCAAATCCAGCATCCCTACACTTCTCTTCTGCGGATCATCTAGGCTACCTGAAATGTGTGACAGAACAGAGAAAGCCACGGTGGGTGCTGTGAGGAACTGGCTAGGAACAAAACCAGAAATACAGTGATAAAGAAAGAGGACAATCTAACTCCATCTGTCAGCTTCCAGTCAGCACTAAATTATACTGTCATCTATGGGGCACTTATTTTGACTTTGTCAGGGTGACCTGAAAATCTTCAAGTGGCAGAGTTTCTCTTATTTCTCTGGTGACTGTTCATGCCCTAATTACAGCAGCTTTGGTTACTGGATTCCTAAACATTTTTCAGTGGATGCAAGGACCCTTTTGCAAACTCTACTCTGGCAACCACTTTGTAACACAGAGGAATGTGGTTTTCTTGGCCACCTCTCCCTGATTCCTTAGTGATATTTTGCTGATTCCTATGTCCAAGGGGATGACAGACTGAAAAGAGTTGGCCTATGAGACTCAGCTCTCGTGGGATTCTTCCTGCTGCCAGCCCAGACCTCTTTTCTCACTTAAATTCAGTTCTTCTCAGTTAGATCCTTCAAATACACCTCCCTGACAAAACCAGTTTGTGCCAAGTACCTTGGCATACCTCATGATAGCTGATGTTTGAACATCTCTGACCTTTCTGATACTTCCTGTGAGCATAAAAAGCATTAGGGCACTTGTTGTATTGCTCCACACACTGTGTGTGCTGAACAGAGAGCTCAGAGAGCAGACTGCTTTACTTACTGTCAGAGAGGGCTTCAGCTTCAGGTTTTTTTCCTTACTCTTCAGCTACCCTTTTCTAACTGAGCAGTGTAAACACTTGCAGTATTTCTATGTTATAAATCTGTAAGGAAGTAGCACGTTCTTTCACTCTGTGCTGCTGCCAAGCACATCCAGAATATCCACATCAAAAATTTAGCCAGAGCTAGTGGCAGACTCTAAAAAGGAATAATATGCTCTGGTACCCTACAGAGAATTGAAAGAAAGGCTACATAAAACATCTAGGAAAAGGGATTAAACTCCTCACTCTGTCAAGTAAATGGCCAAAATCCTAATGACTTATATAGGGCAGGTCAAAACCAACTGCTGACTTACTCCCAGATCTTTCTTTCTCCCATTCCACCTCAATGAATGAGCAAATCCCATGCAGAGGCAGAAAACAGCATGAATTTCACAGCATTGGTCATATCTTTATGCACATGCTCAGGTACACATACCTGTTAAAAAATTTATTGTGATCCAGGCTGAAATACCTAATAAGGAAAAGATTCAGAAGATGCACTGTTAGATCATACCATTTCATTTTATCCAACAACAGTAACAAATAAGGTGAGTTGTATTACAAGGTCTTCCTGCTTTAGGATCTGTTTAGCTGGAGGCATTTTTAAGTTTTCTCATACAGTTTAACTGCACCATCTAAAAATAATAAGCAAGCAAGAACTTGTTGTCCAACAAGAGACAGAGATACCAGACACCATCTGCCACAAGCTCCTTTGTCCCCCTTTCACAGACGGAGGACTTCAGAGTCTCCACAGGCTGTCTAGCTGAGAGCTAAGCAAGAAGGACCTTCAAAGAGGGTGAATAGGACTGGCTCTGCTGAGCTCCCCAGACCCACCTTGCCCCAAAGCCAGCACTTCCACAACTGGCAATGGCTGTCAAAAACCGAGATTAGAGGCCTTGAACAAAGAGAATGACCTATACCAGAACTTATGCAGTATTTGGATGAGAAGCCCCATATATGAAATGCCCGGAGGACTCTGTATTTCACAGGTCAAAATCTTAGGTGAGAAGTCACAAAGGCCTTAGCTAAAGGACAAGAAAATGACTGACACTGCTTATTTTCCAGGAAAACATAGACTAGTAGGTTTTTGTTTGATGTCAGGCACTCAACTTTCCTTTTGAATACTAAGAATTTTCATCTTTTCAGTGTTCTAATTTTTCCTATTTTCCCCTAAGCAGTTTCGTGAGCTACACTGTTTCTGTCATCTTCTTGTCTAAAAAACCTTTTGTCCATGAATTAGATGAATTAGTGGGCTTTATGCTAACAAATTCAAATATTTATCCATGTGGTTAAAACTCCAGGCATGCTAGGGAACATGGTCCAGGTCAACCCTTGGCTGAACCAAGGCTGCCACCACTATTAATGATTTTAAAACAAAACAAAAAGAAGAATTACAATGTCTTTCTTCCATTAAGCAGTAAAAAAAGAAACTCGTAAACAGCTCCAGCTATTTTAAAGTATGGTTTCTAAGCAGATTTAAAACACATTTCAACACTCAGTTACTTAGAATTTAGACACGCTTCTTCAAATTATTTTAAAACAAGACTAATTCTGGGTTCTGTCCTCAGCAATTTTTGATGAGCGTCAATTTACTTCAGCATGTATTTTCTTCCCTGTATAACATTTTTTTTCAGGTTGAATTCACAATCACGCTCATTAGATCAGTTACAATTAACATTATGACCAAACACTTTCAGAAAGCTCTGATGAGCATTGTCAAGAGCAGGGTGTGCAAAACCAGTTGTTGAAGACCACCTCAACAAGCGGAGAGTCAGAAACCTTTCCACAAATCCTGACTGCACCGTGGCTTCCTGGTGATCCCACAGGAACTTCCCAGCACTCAAGAGTTTTGAAAACCAGAACAGAGTTCAGGACTTCAAACTGGAAAACGTAGCACAAGATCTCTTTGGCAGGCAATGACTGGGGCAGCGTAAAAACTGCGTCAAACCCACTGCTTGTGAGTTCTCACTACAGTGAGTGGGGACGTGTCACAGTGCAACAGGAATCTCCAGGACTGCAGAAAGGGTCTCCCCAAGTTTGCCTACCTTCATCAGTTCCGTTCATTATCGACACACAGTTATCCCTCACGAAGAAGGGGGAGGCCTGAAAAATCTCCTTCACCTGTAGTTCAAATAAAAGCTACACTCAGAGAAACCTTTGTTCATCTGGAAAGCAAGTTCTTTTAAAACTCCCGTTTTACACAACCTCTCCTCTTCTCGGGCCAGATTCTGACTGCTGCTCACCACTTTGTTTGAAGTTCAAGAGCCCAACAAGCATCAGTCTGCACTCTGCTATAAAAGGTCATCGATTTACGCGCCGGCTCTGCAGTTTGGTGCAGAGACAGGGATGGATGCGTGGGGTTTCAAGCATGAAGTCTGCTCAGAAATGACATTTACAAGGGATGGGCAAGGGTAAGGAAGGGAATCCAGTTTACTTTGCTGCAACTGGCCGTACACAGGGTATTATATATGCATGGGAGAGGCAGGGGATGGACACCCTGGCTTTCAGAAATGCCCAGAAATGGCATTTTTAAAAAGGAACATGTTGGCTGTTAGAGGTCCCCTACACTACCATCCTACACGAGGTAGCAAAGCCCTAAGTTTCCAGAGTCCTCTAAAGTAACAACTGCAGCAGTTCCAGCTGAAATTCAGTGTGGAAAAGAACAGGCCAGCTTGCAGGCAGAGAACAATACAGATATTGTTTTCAACCACAGCACATTTCTTCCTTATTGCTTAGAAAAAGAGTACACTTAGTGCACACTTAATAATTTTTTCCCGGAGATGTAAGGTCTGTAACAAAATATTTTATTTATTTTTATAATACTTTGAAATATTAAGCATATTTAACATGCCTATAAATAAAATTGACATTATTTCCAATCAATATAAAGGAGCAACCTTGCAATAGCAGGCTGGTAACATGACCCTTCAAATAGCAGAGAGCTTTTCTCAAAATAGCAGTGTCCAGGTCAAAACTACCAACCAACACGCTCAGTAAGAACAAGGCTGTGGTGGCTGTTAGGAGTATCCCATTACACCTATTATGTTGAATGTCATCTCCAAGTTTATTTGGAGCTGTCATCATTCCCCTGTGCTTGTACTCATGGAATTTCTCCACGCAACCCCATTTGAGATCAGGTGGCTCTGCACTGCTTTCATGGTTAAATTACAGGAATGGCTCATGTCCGTGAAGATAAACGAGTATGTACCTGACAGAGAAGGGACCAAATTTTGTTGTAAAATTTCTGGAAAGCAAACTGAAAGACAAGAAACGGTACCTTATCCAGCAACTTCTGAGCTTTCTCTCCTGGCAGCAACCGTAGGCCAGCTGTGGCTTTCAGGACCACAGGAGTAAACTTCCACAGCTCCATAGGAACTTCCTTCTTCGCCACCTCCAGGAGCTCTTTTATTCCCTGGCCACTCTGTGAGCAGATAAAGAACAGAAAAATACATCTTAGAAATTCTCTAGAGTTGCCTTTCTTGTAAGGGCAAAAAGGTGATCAGAGGTATGATTCACTGCAAACGTGGAACAGAGGGCTCAGGGAAAGGTGGAGGACTCACTGTTTCCTACAGCACGAGACCTGATGGATATAATGGAGATTATCCAGCAACAGGTCAAAACCAGTCACCTTTTCAAACAGTGACATAGAACTCTCTGCCACTGAATGTTTTTGGTAGCGGGGAGGGGGCTGCAGCGGTGGTCCCCTGGGAGAAGCTTCTCAAAAGCTCCCCCAGCTCCAAGTCAGTCCTACCTCTGGCCAGGGCCGAGCCAATTAGCGACGGTGGTTGGGCCTCTGCGATAACGTGTTTAAGAAAGGGAACCTGGGAGGGGGTTGGGACTGGTGAGGAGGAGTTGGGAGAAGGACGAACACCCCGGGCAGAAGGAAGAAAAAGGAAGAGGGGGAGGTGTGTCAGAGCACAGACCCCCCCCCTTCATCCCGTGGGGAGGTGGCAGGGCCACCCCCCTGCCACCCGTGGAGGTCCGCGGTGGAGCAGAGGCCGACCTGCAGCCTGTGGAGGAGCCCATGCCAGGACAGGCGGCTGTGCTTAAAGGAGGCCAGGACTCTGAGGGGAGAAGCAGCCCCCACTGTTGTAGTTCGGCGCTGGGAGGGCTGCAACGTGTGGGGGGGGGACCCACACCAGGGCAGCGTGAGAATGGCTGCAGCCCGTGGGGAGGACTCATGCCAGAGGACGTTCATTGAGGACTGTCTCCCATGAGAGGGGAACCACACCGGAGCAGGGGAGAATGAGGAGTCCTCCCCCTGATAAGGAAGGAGTGGCAGATTGACTGTAACCCCCATCCCCTGCCCCCCTGTGCCACTGAAGGGGAGGAGGTAGAGAAATCAGGAACAAAACAGCTGGGGGAAGAAGGGGGGGTTGGGGGAAAGGGGTTTTTAAAGATGCGGTAGTGCTTCTCACTGTCCCACTCTGTTAAGTGTTGTTGTTAGTGTTTGAATTGACATTCTTTTTCTTCCGCTAACAAGTCTGTCTTTTGCCCATGACTGTAATAGGTGACTATAATCCCTGTCCTTATCTCAAGTCCTCAGCTTTTTGCTTTATTTTCTCCTTCCTATTCCTGAGGGAGAAGGGGTGAGTGAACAGCTGTGTGGTGCTAAGTTACCCTCGGGGCTCAAACCATGACAGGCAGTATGACAAACCATTGGAAAAAAAAAAGTCTTTGGAGCCAATAAAACACTATGCGCCGGGTGTAAGTCTGGTTCAGAAAGTCCCTAAATCCCTTTGAGCCAGAAATTAAGGGAGACAGGAGAGAAGTCACTTAGTATTTGGCCTGGTTTTTAGAATATTTTCCTGAGAATCCAATTCTAGTCACTTTTGGAGAAGGCTCTGCTCCAATCCAACACAGCTCTTTTGTCATTTTCTTTACTGCATCCAAATTCTTAAGGCAGAGATAGGTAAAACATCCAGTATGCTTAATTAACTACATCACCAAGATACATAACTAGATGCATTCTGTTCCTTGCTCCTCTGCATGTTGACCAACCTTTATTGTGGTCTCGTATCATTTGGAGACATTTTCCTGAACTGAGACAGTTCAGCATACTGTACCACAGCAGGACGTGATTTGCAGGGCATATCAAAACCAGGAGATTTTGGGGCAGATACCTTTACAGTAACAGAAACAAAATTACCTTTTCGACATCATCAGCATATGCGGATAGACCTGGCTTCAGTGCTTTAAACGTCTCATGGGTTAATTTGGGAGTCTCTGTTCAAAAGCAGTATTCCAAAATAAGTAACGGTACAAATAATTTTGCGTACACAAAAAGAAAACCATTTTACAGATTACATCATTATGTGCTAATGGAAGTCAAGTGAAGTCTATGTCTAATGAACTATCAACTGCCACCCCACCTTTAAATACAGCCCTTGCTATGGAATTAGCTCCCAAGAAATGAATTTTTGAAAGTCATGAGTTTTTTCAGATGCTGGTGTCCGCTATGCACAAATTTTTCAGGAACATCAATCACCAGATGGGTATAAGTTGTCTTTGAGCCCTTAGACCTGCCATGTGCAGCTTTCCAAACTGCACCTGTAACAAAGACCCCACGTTTCAGTGTGCTCTGTTCTGGCTAAACTTGACTCCAGCAAAACTCGGTGGAAGCTTTATCACCATTTTCAGTGGCAGCAGAGGGAGCCAGACACAAGTATTTTGGAATCCTGCAGCACAGACAATTATATGCACCTGTAGGCAAGACAACACGAGCTTGACAACATTCTCCTCCTGCACCCAACTACACTTCATAAAGTTTCCTGCAATATATTCTGAAATTGTGTTTAAAGAGAAGGAGGCAAGTAAGAAGCAAAGATTTGGGAATACACTGAAAGAAGGAAATCCACAGACCGTTGTTTAATGCCTTTGGTAGCTAAGTCTTACACTAGCCCATTCTGCAAACCTAAGGTGCTCCCCACCGGCCCATCACACCATACCCACCACACTGCTAATCCTTAAAAGCATCCTCAGACCACCTACTAACAGCATCCACACGTGTTCTTTCATCTTTAAGAGCTTCACAAATAGGAGCTGACAACACCTAAACAAATGAAGCTTATGACTCCAGAGGAAAACTGGAGCTTTTTTGTACACTTCTGTCTCACCTCTCAGCCAATACTTTCTGTCCAGATAAAATACACAGCAACTTTAATCAATGCCATTTAAATCCAACACTGAAGCACTGGATGCCCTAAAGCAGACAACACAGAGAAGCAGCTCACTGCCAGGAACTGGAGACAGCCAACAACCTCATGGTAAAATCTGGGAGAAAAAAGGCAGTTTGAATATATAATCCTCTCTTCCACCAAGCAGTGTGGTGAGAAACTGCTCTTCTTCAAGGCATGGTTCTAAAGGTACAGCTGCTACTTAGTTCACATTCTGACATTACAGCATTTTCTCCTTCTTGAATGTTTTTGTAATTTTGTCCAAACCCACGTGCTTTAACCATAATATATTTCCTGATGGCTCTCTAGAAAGAGCTGAAGCATGTTTGTTCAAGTAATCCCTACAAAAGAATCATCAATAATCTGCTCCATATGTTATGGAAGAATTAATCTATTGTGCAATGAGCAGGCCATACCTTTTGGCTGCTGTGTAAATTTAAAAATATGGATGCGAGTCCCTGTGCTTCCTGCATCAAACATAATTCCATAAAAGACTGCGTGATCTGTGGTCAGAGCTTGATGGTTCAGTTTGTCTCCTCTGCTTTCAGTAACTCCTTCTGTTTCTCCCACAACTGGTTTGGAATCCAAGTGCCATTTTACGTATGCAACATAAACAGCTATGCATGCCAAAATCCCAAAAGTGAAGAACCGCTTTGATATCTTCATGGCTTCCATTTATCAGATGTTTTGTTTCTTCCCTTTATCAAATGTTTATTTCTTTTCCTTCACACAGAACAGGTGCTTCTCACATCACTCCTATACCCAACAGAAAATAAAAGACTTATTTTATTTTCTAAACCTGCTGAAAGGATCTAAGAGTATGATGGTTATCTGATATGGGACTTACAGAAGTAAACTTGACTTGAGCATTAGTTAAATACTTAAGTGTTAGTTGGTTTAGATCTGTGATAAGAAAGTTGAGCATAACAGTCAAAGTAAGCAGCAAGTCACGCCAACAAAGTAAAAAAACTAACACACCGGGAGTGACAGACTACTGCTAGCAAGTAAGAAGGATTTATGCCTGCAGCTCCTTCAGGATCTGGAGTGAGACTGAGACATCGGTTACTGTATTCAGTGCTCAAATCTATCTCAACTAACCCAAGGAAACTTGCAGTTAAGCGCTTACATTTATTCCATTAGGACAATGTAGAATCCTGCATTCAGAAATCTAGGATTGAATCACTTGTAAAACTGGACCCTCTCTCCCGTGTTGCTCGTCCTAACCATCAAATGTCTCTGTGGCTGTTGGATGCCTAGGAGACAACACACGACCTTCCCAGCAAGAACACATCCACGCTCCTTCAGCATGCCATTGAGATCTATAGCTAGTTTTAAGACATGAAGCTGCATAAATCTTCTCTTCCCCATCGCTACTGAGGCCTAAGTAGGAACGGAGTAACAAGAGTTCAGAGAAGCTAAATGCAATAAATGAGGTGGGAAGGGACCTCGAGCGGTCTCTCATCCAACCTCCTGCTCAAAGCACAGGCAGCTATGGGGACCCACCATGGTGCTCATCCAACTGCATCTTGAAAACCTCCAGGGATGGAGATCCCACAACCCCTCTGGGCAACCCCAATCAGTTGCAATTCTCTTTATCAGTTTCTGGATGGTGAAGGAGGTCCCAGAAGACTGGACAAGGACAATTTAAAATCAGGCAAGATGGAAGATCCAGCGAATTAGACTGCCCCCCCAACCTCGCCCCCCGCAGCTCCAATACCAGGGAAAAAAACCTAGCAAAGCAGAACACAAGGAATCTACAAACACACATATGACATCATCCAGATGATTAAAAAACAGTCAGCAGTGACTTATGGGGAGAAAAATACATTATAGCTTTCCTTTTTTGTCAGCATAATAAAGAAGAGAAAGCAAACCAATTGATGAAGTTGGCTTAAACACAGGTTTGACACACATATAATCTGTTGATGATATGAATTCAGGAGGTGTACAGAAGGCATGAGGGGGATGAATTTAAATTCGAGGTGATTACAGTGTATTGCCAAAAATGGGCAAGGCAAAATCTGGTAAGAACAGAGGAAAGCAAAACCACAGGCACAAATACGCATGAAGAATAGATCAGCATTGGGAAAAGGAACTGCAGGCTGTCATGAAACAGAAATCAGAGAGGTGGCATTGCAACAACAACAAAAAAAAAAAATCGTTCTGGTTTCTATCAGCAGGCACAGTGGCAAATACTGCACATATATGGGGTGATTACTCCGATCTTCCTGGTGCCAAAGGCCTCAACCGCTGCTACACGAGAGCTAAAAGCATGTAACAGGAGGGAAGCAACGTGAAATAATGATCCTTTGAGAAGGCTGAAGCCTCCACGGCGGGAAAGGGGAGACTGGAAGGATGAGGGGGATGGAGGAGCAGCAGTCTGCCAGCCCAAACCCCCTCCCTCAATTTTCCTGAGGAGAATCGGGATTAACTCCTCCCCGGCTTTGTTAGGGGACGAGGAGATTTGCTGCCAGGGAAAAGATTTTTTCCCCCCCGGCGCGGCGGAGGGCGAGCACGGGAGCCGGGTGCGGGGCAGGTACCCGCCGCCCCACAGGCCGGCCCCGGGATTCCCCCCTCAGCGCGGCCCCAGCCGTGGGGCGCCCACCCGCCGAGCCCCCTCACCCACGGACCCCCGTGCCCACCACCACCACCACCGGCCCCGCCGCCCACACTCACGCCGCCGCCATCCCCGCCATGGCGACATCCCCCCCCCCCACCTCCTTCCCCGCCCCGCCGCTGCCGCTGCGCAGGCGCGGAGCGGGGAGGGGCTGCGCCTCAGGGAGGGGGGAAACGTGCTTCAAAAAAAAAAAAAAGGGGGCGAAATGCCGCCAAAACGGAGAGGTGTGAGGAAAAAGGATGAGAGAAACAGCACCGCGAGGTGAGAGAAGGAGCGGGGTGAGGGGAGGAGGTGCCACACAAGGCAGCGGTGGAGCCTGTGCGAGTGGAGGGAGAGGCCCTGCGGCCTTGGCATATGGTCGCCAAAGAGATGGCTGGCGGGTCTGCTGGCCTCCTCCTGCTCCCCGGGGATGGCTGGCGGGTCTGCTGGCCTCCTCCTGCTCCCCGGGGATGGCTGGAGGGTCTGCTGGCCTCCTCCTGCTCCCCGGGGATGGCTGGCGGGTCTGCTGGCCTCCTCCTGCTCCCCGGGGATGGCTGGAGGGTCTGCTGGCCTCCTCCTGCTCCCCGGAGCCAGCCCGGGCAAGAAGTCTTTACCTGCAGGTTTGGTCCAGCTCGGCGGCAGAAAGTGTTGGTAGATGTGCGTAAAGGACACCCTCGCACAGCTTCTGTTTTGTTCTCTACACCTCGTGTTCCGCTAGCAGTTTTTCTGCTTGAGTAGATTCCTTAGTGGCTCTTCTGCCACCTAGATTATTTTGTCTTTTACCAGCTGAAATAACTCCCCCAGCTGCTCCACCCAATCTGGAAGAATGCGGAGAGCGGGATTTGGAGTGAGGAGGCGTGAGAGCCCGGCAGCAAACATGAGGCATGAAGAAGAGATGGAGAGCAATGTTTGCAAATCAGGTGCAGGGCAGAGGTCTTAAGATGTGATGTGAGGGGCTCACATCCTCCCACCAAGCTCTGCTGTCGCTCCCACAGCTGGTGTGGACCAGTGGGTGCTGGCATCTGTGCTGAGAGATACCCCCCTGTAGGAATGAGTGCCCTGTCTCCCAGGGTGTTACTTATTCCAGCAAATTACTCCTTCACAGCATTATTTGGAAAGTAAATTAGGGGTTTTTTTCCCAGCCCTGTGGGTAGCAGGCATTGATGAATTTTAAATGATGGTCGCTGTTCAAATCAAACTCCCTGTCTGTTTTACCCAGGTAAATGAAATGGGTCTTTCCAGCTATTTTTCGAACTTGTTTTAATGTTTACTTATATTTAGAAGGAATCGTGCTATTAATAGGAGAATCCTGCAAAGAAATATTAAGGCACAGAGACTTAAAATCTTGAAGATTTGTGGCTCCCCCGTGATGTGACTGCAACAGACTCTATGTTTAGTTTCTAGTTCTCCGAGTGCATAAGCGAGACCCTGCCCCCTGATGTGGTTTCTCCACAGAAACCCGCCTGAGTCTGCAGGCGGCTTGAGAAAAACAGCTGAGAGTCTTCTGGTAATTCCTGTTGGTATTAATCCTCAAATTGCTGCTATAGCACTCCTGTCAACAACTCAGGAACTGTAAACCCATCAAGAAGAAGACAGGAGAACCTCAGCAAAGATGCAGCCTGACTGCTGTGTAAATACCCTTTGTCCCTGGGACTGAGGGGAGGATGACGCAGCTGGGCAGAGGTGGCTGGTCTTGGTGAGTCTGCATCATGGCATCACCTTATTCTGTCCTGAAATACGAGATGTTGACAGATTAAAAACTGTCAGTTTTTATGGTTATTGCTATACCAGCTGTTGCACAGTGATACCCAGTGGCAGTATGAACGTAAATGCAATGCAAATAAGCTGGTTTTCAGTTAGCCTTGGTCTGAGTGATCCCCTTCTGGTAAAACAGCAAAAAATGGGGATAGGGAGTAAAGATGCTCCAAGTTTCGGGCCAAGGAGCTACCCAGGTCTGGAATTGTCCTTTAAAGTAAAAGACAGGGAAGCCCCATCTCAAATCCTGTGGTTGTCACTGGGATTTTGGGCTGCTATGAAAATTCACACCTAGGAGTAAGTTTCTCAAAACCCAGAACTGGACTTCAGTCCCTTATGTTTAAAAATACACTCTTCTCTGAGCTTGTTACAGTGGAGAGCCTGCTCCACAAACAGCCTATTTCTTCAAACTGCAAGAAAACAGGAATACTTCTGGAAATTTACTTGGGTTCAAGGACTACTTGCATTTTTTTTTCTTCAAGATAAAAGATTTAGGGGATATCAATATTGTTTTCCTTAGCTATATGATGTTTTTCAGTACTAAATGAAAGATGCTCCTGTCACTGATTGCTAAAAAATGCATTTAAAGAGCCAGCAAAACAAGTTGGTCTTTCCCTTTGTCACTAGGGAAGACAGAAGTCTGCAGGAAGTGAGGCCCTCCTGGAAAAGCAGGACAGGCCAGCAGAGAGCAGTGTTTTATCAGGAACATCATTTCCCCTGGGACGGGGCAAAATAGTGCAGTATTTCTTTCTCATAGTTGAAATATCTTGCATATATGTTCATAAAGAACGCTGCAGTTAGGATTAGAGATTCCAAAGAATGGGATTGTAATGCTGAGGGGAGGGGGCTTCCTCCTGTGAAAAACATCATTTATGTACATGGGGAACAGTTCTCAGTCTGTTCTTGGAAACATCCTTGCCTCATCTGGGGCCCTCGGAGGGACTGTAGATGGTTCGAAAGGTTTTGCATTTGTTCCTGAAACTTTCTCACATACAGTGCTGTGGTCATCCCTAGGATTAACTCAAACCATATAGTCTGAGGTTTGTTAACAAATTTTCAAGTGTGGTGTGTACATATTATATATATTACTTATATGTGCACATTTAGATTCAGAGCTTGGTGTATTATATTGGGAACCAGTTATTTGGGAAACAATCTCTGTGATTGTTATAAGAATAATGCTGTTGGATGTCTGAATGAAAATTAGCAAAAAGTGATCAAAGACAAATTGTACAAACATGAGAAACTGTATAATGAAAAGGTTATTTTACCAGTTCACTCACGATTATTGCAAACAGCCACAGGGTTATATTACAGATATAAATACAAGGTCAGTATTTCTGGCACAGTGTATTCATGATCTGCCTATGATTGGTATCTGAGAGCGGTACAGTTAATTAAGGCTCCCTGTACAGAGCATGTTTCCCTCAGTGCTGCCGCCCCTGCCCTGCTTGGGGACTGGCTCTTCCAGGCAGCAGCACAGGTTTAGGAAGTTCAAAGGTGTGAGGAGTCTGTTCCCAGTTCGTGGCAGGTGCTGGTGCCACTGGAGCTGTGGCAGCAGCCCACGGGTGCTCGGGCACCAGCCTTCCACCTGCTCTTGCCCTGCATCTCAGTTCCCAGCTGTGTGCTGGGTCCCAGGTGCTCCTCAGCCACCTAACTAATAATGCTATTGATACTATTGCATCTTTAAAGGACAAAAGAATACCTCGGGTAGCTCACTGAGATATTTCATTTGAAGATTTTGGAGTTCCTCTTGTAACAGCAGTCCGGGAAGCCAAAAGTCCTGCCCCATGGCAGACTGAGTTGGGATTGTCTGAAGAAGAAAAATATTTTGGAAATCCTGAGGAAAAGTAACAGCAACTAAACGTACAGCTCACATTCCCATCCAATATTCATTTTCTCCATCTCAAAGAATAAATTATACTAGTGCTGACCTTTAACAGAAAAGCGTGATGTTCATTGAACAGGGAACATTAAGCTTGTTTCCCTACGGATCTAAGTCCTACAACTCCTTTATCTCCTTGCTGCAAGCCACATATCTGTAGCGTTTGCTGTGATATTCTATCCTCACGTTCTCCCCATATCCCTGAGCAGGATAGGTAGCTCTGCAGTGCCATTGCTTACCCGAAACCCCACATGGCACCTGCTGCTCTCTGATGCCCTCCACTGTGGTTTCTCATCACGCCTCCCCAAAATTTCTAGCAAGGCAGAACTTGGCACGTACTGTCACTTCCCTGGAGCTGCATCTGTCCCTGGTCAGAAGGCCGTGGTCAAACATAGTAGATAAATGCTGAGTTGCTGTTGCCTTTCCTACAAAGAAAGCATAAATAAGGTATTTCTCCATCTCCTCTGGATACTCACCAGGTTTTTACAAAGTCAGAAATTAAACATCTTTAAGACATTTATGTTTCTGACAATTGTGGCTGAAACTAGTAACTGATTCATAGTTTTGGAGGGGCAGCAGGTGAGCAAAACAATCACATAGGCCTCCTATTCTGAGGAAATCAGGATCAAAACATGCCTTTGCCATGTTCCCATGTAGGCTCTCCACTGAGTGCTTTACTTTTCCAGCTTTGTCTTTGCTTTTCCAATGATGATTTCTGTGGTCTGAAGTAATATGTCTTCTTGTCTTCCAGGTTTTGTTTTTTTTTTTTTCTGTGCTAAAGGTGTTGTGTGGCAATAAGTTTAAACTCTGAAGCACCCTAGAATTGGGCCAAGTAAGTATATTTTGCTCTTGCTCTGCAATATAGTAGGGTGTAATAGATGATCTTGGTGGCTTTGCATTGGATTTGTCTAGAATAAATGCTGGATGGGCTCCACCATGCTCTGTGATCATATTGCAGAGGCTGTCTCCCAGGGGATGTCACTGAGGTTTTCATTAGTGGTTGTGGCTGTAGTGCCACAAAACAGAAAAACCGAGCAGGTCTCTGCTGTTCCTTATTGCTGTTCTCAAGCCATGTGCAGAAATGAGCTGTAACTTGGAAAATGCTGCCTCAGCGTGGTCTTTTTGGTGCTCTACAGGCTGAAGTTCTTCACAAATTTATCATGACCTACATAATTGACCTATATTATGCATCTATTTGTTAAATAGGTTGCACTAATTAGAAACATGAATGGGGATGGCTTAGCAGTTATTTAGTTATACTGAGGTATGTACCTGTTGTCTGCAGTGATGTATGGGAGGATCATTTCCAGATTTTCCCTCTCTGCCCCCTCCATATTTGGCCTGTGCCTTGGATTATTGCAATAAAACATGAATTGATTCTGCTTCAGAGAAAAAAAAAAAAAAGTAAAATTGCTTTTATTGCCCTTCTAGGTAAGGGGATATATCCCCATGCATGTCTGTATGCAAGAAAATTAAGCATGAGGGAGAAAATGCAGCAACATTTTCAAGTCCTTGACTTGTAGGGCAGCAAGTAGGGGCCGAGTGTGCTTTGCACTTCAGTCGCTACTGAGACACATTTCTAGGCTGGGAAACAGCATTACGCCATTTTGCTGATATCTGAACATTCTGTAATGAATGGGTTTATTTCTCCTTGCACTTGTGTCTCACCTGCAGGCTGTAGGAACTGTTTGAAATCCAGGATGACATTGAAATGTGGTGAGTTTAATGGAATTGCACCTGTTCCCGGCAAGTATGAATTTTGGTTTTAATGTTTCAGACTGACATCCAAAGCCTGGCTGATTGGCCTCTGGGGGCAGATTTGGATCACAGCTTTAAAACAGATGTCTGCTGCTACAAACCCTAGCAGTTGCATTAACAACCCTCTCAAGTGGTTTCCACTGCTGCATCCTCATTCATACAGACGGGGTGTGCAGAGTGTAATCTAATCGAGGAGAATTCCCCAGATTTTTTTTTGTGTATGCTATCAGTACATTTTTAACTTCTCCAAATTCATTAAAAATGCATCCATCTGTGGGCATGTCACATAGCACTGTGTGGAATATTATCTGTAATTCCTCCAAGAAGCTGTTTTTTTGAAGGAAAAATGGGTGGGGAGGATGCATAAAGTGAAAACAAATTTCTACCATTTTTAACTGTTCACGATTTCAGGAATTGTTCATGCCTCATGTTAGGGATGGGTTTCCAGGCAGTCAAAAACGTATGTTGTACCAGTGAATGTGTGGGCAAAGCATTTGTTCAGATATGTATATTATTCATTAGGTAAACTGGTTGTCAAGTGGCACAGGTTTGTCTAGCTGAATAGACAGCCCATGCCTTGACCGGGCTTTTGCTAATAAAGATTTTTATGATCTTGTCATAATCTTGGAGTTAATTGCAAATATTCTGAGGAAGAAGAAAGTCCTTTCTCACCTTATCATTCTGCTTCCTCTGCAGAAAATTGATCCCTACCTCTTCTGTAGAGCTTTTAAGAGCTATTACTGTATGACATGTGACGTTAAGGCTCAAAAAAGCAGCTTTTGTTAAAAATGCTCTGATTTTAAAAAATATTTTGTGCATGATATTTGAAACCTAGAATAATTTAGCTTCAAACTGACCTCTCGAGGTTCCCATGATCAAACTAGGGCCAAATTTGAACTTTGATCAGGTTGCTCAAAGCCTTGTCCAGCTGAGTTTTTAGTATCTCCAAGGGTGGACCCTGTCTCAGGACTGAACCACCTGTAAGGTGAAATTCATTTCCTCGTACCTAATAGGAACCTGCCATGTTCCAGCTTGCACCCGCCACTCCTTGTGCTGTCACTGAAGGTTTCTGGGAAGAGCCTGGCTTCGTCTTCACTTCTTTAGGAAGCTGCAGAGAGCAGTAAGCTCTCCCCTTTGCTTTCTCTTCTCCAGGTTGAACAAACAAGTGTTGAATGGAGGGGTAGGGTCTCTTTCCTCACCTGCAGGCTCCCCTTTTGCTAATATAGCATGGCTGGCCGCCTTTGCTGCAAGAGCATGTTGCTGATCCTGGTCAGCTTGGTCCCCGGGGGCTTTTCCACGGAGCTAGCCCTCAGTCTGCCCGTTTGTGTAGGGATTTCTGTCCGTTCTGGGGCAAGATTTGGCATATGCCTTTGCTGGACATGGAGGCCCCTGTCAGCCCACTCCTCCAGCCTGTCCCGGTCCCTCTGAAGAGCAGCCCTGCCCTCCAGCTCGGTGCAAAGTGCAAACTGGCCAAGAGTACATTGCACCTAGCCTTCCAGGTCATTAACAAAGACCCAAGTAGTATCAACTACTGAAAAACCCCCTTAGTAGTCAGCTGCTGACTACAGACAGTAGCTGTGGGTTGTGTGTGATGATTTGTATCTTCACATGATTACTTGTTTTCACACTGTTTAGTTTCATGACGGATTTTCTCTGTGTGTCTTACTATATTTTCAGGGACTATTATATAAAGCATGTTAGAAGCAATCTAAAATTATGAAGAAAGCCTGAAAGTGTCTGTCTTTCCTTCACATTGATAATATTCTATTGGTTGATATGTGTAGAAATGGAAATATGGAAATACAGCTGTTTGCAGACACCCCCCATGTATATAACCAAGGTATCCAATCTTAAAACTAAATCTGACCTGAAGAGTTACTAGCACATGCTTTTTGATTGCACAGAAATGTGACTGGGTCAGATTAAAGAGCAAAAACTACCTCTAGAGGCCCATTTCAATGTGACAGTGCTGTCTGAGTCAGCACAGCCTTCTCTGACACTGCCTTCCTTGAGCCAACGAGAGGAGCTGAAGCCATGGAGGTCTGGGGCACAGCTCTGTGGGTTTTGCTCTGTGACACTTTCATGCCAGCTTTACAGAGGGAGACATAAATAACTGTTCACAGGTGCTGTTCTTGTATTTATCTCAGAAGCTGCAGGGGAGCACATCAGAAAAAACCCTTGACTTTAAATTAGGGTACCTTCAAAAATGTGGCATTGTATCCAGAGGACTATGCCCAGCTTAAACATCTGCATCAGATCGGGGTGCAGGCTTGTTTTCTTCTTCATTGAATGTCACTTCTCGTGCCTTGAGATCCATTTTTGGAGGTGCTCTGCTGTCCCAGTGCCTCTTGAGGAGGAGTTCACCGCTCCCAGTCTTCCATGTGGTTTTGTCTGACCCTGTACATTGGTGATGAATGCTTAGTGTCTCACAAGGGAGAATGATCCAGAAGGTCATTTTTCCACTCTGAAACACTGTGAACCTCTCATTTGTTAGGAGGTGCCTAAAGTTTTGTGTGTGAAACAATCATTGTGCACCTTTGAAGGAAAAGTATTCTCAGTTTTTTTCATTTTTCTACTGCAAATATTAATGGCAGCCTGTAGTTAGCCTTCAGTCATTTAAGCTTCAAGTGCTGCAGGACTGTTCTCCAGTATTTCTAACCTTCCTTGAAGAAGCAAACTAATTTTCAGTGGTTTAGTTCCTATGAAATGATCATATTCACTGTTGGTTATAAAGCGCTCGTATGCCAGGGTGGATGCAGGAGTGCCTGGATTGAATAGTTATGATTGGCTCAGAGAAGCGAACATAGGAAATCTCTTCTTTTCAACCTGAGGCACTTTAAGAAGACTTTTTTCCCAAACCAGCTTCCCTGCCCTTTGAGTATTGGGACTTTTGGGGCACCCACCTTGGGCACCCAGAAATACAGACACCAAAACCCATTAATTGCTTTTGAATGTAGAATGTCTTCTCTTACGCCACATTTTTTCTCAGTAAATGGGGTCACCTGCCTCTCTGCTAGCATAATTTATGGAAATAACTCATTTATTGCAAAATGTAATCCTAGTCTCTCTGATGAGCTCAGTTCTTTGATAATATAATGCAGAAAAGTTACGCTATGAGATTTTCAGAAGTCAGTTTTGATGTTAGGCTGCTGTGTGCTGGTTTGAGCCACCTTCATGCTCAACATGAAACTGAAACTGCATTTGTTGAAGAATAAGCAACTGAAACGATTGCTACATTTTAAGAGAATGTGTAACTGTGGCAGTCTGGAAAGGTGATGTATTAACAAGTGAAAACATTTTGGTTGTGTAACTGCGAATTTAGAAAAGCTATTTTTTGGTTCAGCTAACGAACTGAAAAGCTCATCAGTTGCAGAACAGTACTTGAAATACCCTAAAGGGACCCATTTCTAAAATTTTCTAAGTATAGACTTTGATGAATAGTTTGGCCATGGTTTTCAGGCGGTTGTTGCCTTGGGTCTTGATGCAGAAAGCAGTTGCAAGGAAGCTTGCTTGGAAGAGCATGCAGGTGTCCTGTGTGTTACCACACAGCGTGGTCTGAAGAGGGCCGCTCAGCCCTGGGGAGATGCTGAGAGCTTGGCTTACAGCAAAGTTCGTGAGAACGGACAGGGCTCAGCATTTTCATACTGTCTTTGAAATCGAAGCCAGGCACTGGAGAGAGTGGAGGGGGAAACAAGGTGACAGCCTTCACCCTTGCCAGTGTAGGCTTGAGGGCAGGGTGTTCTGGATCAAAAAGCACACAAGACCCCAATCTTCACCTTCCCCACACCCTAGCTGTGTTCCTCTAACCAGCGTGGGAAGCTGGGATGGTAGGGAACTGGAACCACTGCTGGTGGGTGAGTGGGAAGGGGAAGGAGCAGTGGCTGTGTGGCCCACTGAGGATGCAGGAGCTGGGACGGTGAAGGGAGAAGCCTCAGAGCCGTGTCCTGCTGATCTGGCTGCACCAGCCTGCTTCTGCCCCTCAAGCTCTTCTGCCCAGCCCATCAGAGCTGCTGGGGAAGCAAAGCACAGCAAAACCGAGGACTTTCCCAGAGCCAGTAGCGATTTTTTGCGTTAGGGACCACAGAGCCAGATCAGGAGATCTGCAGAGGTCTGCTCACTAAAGGTACCGGCTGCCCTTCAACGGGGGAAGCCCATTGAGCCGTTTGAAGAGCACAGCATCCCAGAGGGATGGATGGGGGGAATCAGGTGCTAAACCTCCCCTTGCATTTCCAGTGTAAAGGGAAAGAAAAATGCGTTTGGGTTGACCTGGCACCAGCCTGTCTGCTCACCTCCCATGAAAACCACTTCACCTCGAGCTTGTCCTCGTGAATAATGGGGGTTTGCATTTACCAAGTGAAGTGATCGGCCCCTCCAGCCTGCTATTCACTACTCCAATTAACAATCAGTTGCCTGAAAAATGGGCCAATCTGTTTCTTGGGGAGCCACATAGAAAAACCACAAGGCAAGCCAATTAGCATACCAGCCCTCACTGTCTAGGGAATTTAATTTAGTTATTTGGTTGATCTAAGTACCGAAATATTGTTGTTTTGTTATGGAGCATATAATGTTTGTTAAATGGCTGAAATCCCCCGAGGCCCATATGCTGCTGATATTCTCTGTGTCCTTCCAAGCCAGCCGAGGCAATAAGGCAAAACTGTTTTTGTCCCGCACATGGTCCCTGTATTTTCCTGGCATGACACAGCAGCTGGATGCAGGCAGAACAAACCTTCGCCACCCGGGGTGGGCGGGATAGCTTCTCTCTGAAATAGTTGCACACTTGAGCAAGCCCATTGTCTGCCCAGAAAGCATTTCAACCGCCTCTTACTAGGCAGCCACCACCTACAAAAAGTCCTGGGAGCCAGCGTTGGGACAACCTGTCTGCACAGCGTGTTGTGCGCGGTCAATTAGTTTGCAAATTGCCCATTTGCACATTCGCACATGAATTAGTTACGTTGCTCCCACAGGATTTATTCTTCTTGTCACTGCTATTAAGGAAGGCCCATGAATAAATAAGGTAATTTGGACAGATGCCTTTCTCCCCACACACACGCAGTTCTGGCCTCTTCCTTGGAGAGGACAGGCAATGGCTGGAATCCCTGGGATGCAAAGAGTGGTTCCCAGTGATGTTGCTTCTGTGTATTGCTAAGCCTCTGGGTTGACGCTGGTGTAATGGTGGCATGCATTGTGCCAAGTTTTTTTGCTCGTTTAATAGCTTTTTTTTTATTATTTTTCTAATAATAATGAAAAGAAAATAATAAGAAAATATATGACAGCTGTCAGTTTGTAGTGCCATTGCTGGTGCACATGCTCTGTGCTTGGAGAAGTGACACCAGTCCTGTAGCTGAACTGCTGCTTTTATGGAGAAATCCTATGTTGGGATTTCAACAGCCAAGCAAGTACCAGAGCCACCAAAATATTCAGCCGGATTTAACGACATCAGTTTCACTCTGGTCTGAATTTGCTGGAGCTGGTGAAAAGCCATGTTGGAAGGAAAGGAGTCTAACTGAACGGACAGTCCTGCTCAGTGTTTGCACCGCATTTAGTTCTCCAGTTCAAAAACCCAAAGTGCAGATTGCTGCCACCTAATCAGCAGAAGGAAAATATAGGTGAGGTGTGAGTCTATCTGTGGGCATTTTGGTCAGACATTTCAATTAAACTGTACGTGCCAAAAAAAAGAATTTGTGCTCTTACCACCAGAAATTGATAATCTCTGCAGATGTCTAAGGGTTCAGTTACCCAGCTTGGAACCTGCTGATGTTTCTCCACCACCACGAGGAAGAAGGGCCCTCCTGAGCTGGGTTTTAGGTCAGCTGCTGACCTCGCATGCCTTGCAGACTCTGATAGAATCTTGCTATCATCTTCTGGACCACTGGATTTCGGCCAGACCCTTGGCAGACCAGGGGCTACTGCCAGGGCTTTGAAAATTTATAGAAAAACAAGTAGTAAAGGGGCATCAATGTGGTACATGGACAACTGCATTTCTTTTAGGAAATCTCAGAGGCTGCTGTTGTAGATGCCCTGTAGGACTATCTTTAGCTCCAAGTAGTTGATCAGAGAAAGAGAACTTACTGCTCTGCAAGTATTTTTGGCAGCTGTAAAGATGTTGGAAAATACTGTTTTAACAAGAATTTGCTCTTGAATTATTTGGCTTAGTGGCTGACTTTAATGAAGGTCTGTGCATTCGCACTAGGTCAGCCACTTCATTCCTGTCCAGCCTGGCTCTGGTGGCTTGTTCTCTGGCACATAACACTGCTTGGGCACATCTTCCTTCGCTGCATTCATCGTTGCTTGTTTATTACAAGAAAAAAGACATAAAAAGCCTACAGGCGTTGCTGTATAGATACATGGTACCTGATTTTCTGGGGTGCTGTGAGCCTGTAGTGTTTGCAGCTTTCAGTGGGAATTGGGTAGAGTGAGTCTCATGTGAAGTTCAGACCCATGTCACAGATCTGTGTAACTGGTCTGTAGTCAGCATCAAAGCATCCCGGGTTACTTGGTGTTTTCCCAAACAGCTTGTATCTTGCTGAGCGAGGCCAGCGAAGCAGTATGATTATCCCATGCTGCTTTTGCAATTTCTTAGGACTATCTCTTTTCCACTAGACCATCTGGAAGGCAAAATGCAAGGACTCTTCCTTTCCAATGACAGAATTTGCGAAGGCAAAAGAAGTTGCATCTTTCCTGACCTTCTCCTCCAGAAATTCAACATGTATTTTCTTGTGCACTGACTAGGTGAGTTACCTATTGCTGGGTCCCCAGAGGCCACAAAACAACAACAAAACAAAACAAGAAGAGAAAAATCTATCTCTGCCTCATATCTTTATGCCCTAGTTTCCGATAATGTCTTTTCTGGGGGTGAATAATTTTACTGTACCCCATGTACACGTGACACCATGTATGAACAGCCAAGTTCATAGTTGGCACAGTTAAGAACAGCCCATTTTTTTGGCTGCTGTAAATAACATTAGGGAATCCATGATGAAAAATATGTCCCTTCTTTCTTATCCAAATTCATCTCACTTCAGAGAGAGCATGTGTTCCAACCACAGCATCTTACTCAACCTTTTCTTCAGCTATTTTAGGCACCATCCCAAAGGTCTGTCTTCACTCACCATCTTTTCCCGTGGACATGCAGACTTTGATTTGGCTGTAGCTTTTTTGAAAACAATAACGTATTCCTGAAGGTGGTTAAATTTGTCTGCACATCTGACTTTACCCTGCGCTATTTAATGCTCATATTTGAATCCTCTGCAAATGCAATGAAAACCCAGTAACATTTAATGTTTCTTTGCAGCCCGGTGGTTAACCAAACTCTATTGGGCTGAGAAAAGGCTGCTGTAATTTGAAGATTTAGCAGTTAAGTAGATTGAAAACTGGTCAATATGGGCACAGCCAATACTGTCTAGCAATAAATTATTTTAAAACCAGAATAAAATTCCTTTGAGAAGCTGTAGTATTATGTTATCAACATGCTTACATTCTTTGAGTTAGTTGCTAATCTGATGGAAAAGGACCATTTGTCTTTTCCGAAACAATAAAAAGCAGGACTTCCCTGGTTCTGTGTTAGCTCTCCCAAAATTAGTGTTGGAGAATTTCCCTGTGGAAAGTTAAGGAGCTGGTAGTTTCCTGCAGCTACCGCCAAAAGATATGACCACTGCTTCTTTCCTTGTTTAAAACTGCAAAATTTGATTAACTAGAAGAAAATTACTCTGAGCTGTGAATGACAGCTTAACAAGCAGTGTATTGTAGGAAGGCTAGCTAACGAGCAGAAGATACGTTTGCTCTTGGTAAATGTAGAAACTTCCTTATTACTTTCTTTGACTCTATTAGTCACAGTCTTTTTCAGTGCTGTATTTATATTCCCGTGTCGGTCCTTGCCATTTCCTTCCTGCCAGTCAGTAACCATTGGTGCAACTATTTCCTTGTAGCTACTGCAGTTTAAAGCAAATAAGGATGTGATCCCATGTCTCATCCCATTGATGGTCCTAAGATCGGAGGAACTCGGAGTGTGCGTGGGGTAATGAAGGACCAGGACACAGCTTTTCTGGCACAGGCCACTGCTCTTTGGTCATAACTGTGGTCCACATGCTTTGGGGAATGGGTAACTGCTGCATTTTATTAAAGACCCACAACTGAAATAATAATAATCGGATAAAAGGATCATTTATTGTCAAACGATTATGGGGCTGCATTATGTGGTTTCATATCTTTTCCTTCAAAAGCTCTGCGTTGCAAACCAGCTTGCAGTTTTACTCTGTGCCATTAAGAATTTGGTATTACACAGGAGTATATTTCACATGGCAAATTCTGTGGAACATGGATTATATTATCAGGAAATAAATAAAAATTTCTCAAGTTAGCCCTGGCTCTTCCAGTGGTAATCAGGAAATCATTTGTCCTTAAGCTACAGCAGAGGTTTGGTTTCTTAAAAACTGAATAGGGAAAAATGCTTTTAGGGTGATTTCTTTACAATAAAAACATGATAGGCTTAAAGCAAACTGATGATCTTTGTGAAGCCGTTCACAAAGCTGGGGAGCAACCAGGTTCCCAACTGATGTAAGTCAGCATAGACCCATTAGCTGGCGGTGCTGGGTTTGTGTGTGTGGTGCAGGGTTTTGGCAGCGGGGAGGGGGCTGCAGCGGTGGCCCCCTGGGAGAAGCTTCTGGAAGCTCCCCTGGCTCCAAGTCGGTCCCACCTCTGGCCAATTAGTGGCTGAACCAATTAGCGATGGTGGTTGTGCCTCTGCGATAACGTGTTTAAGAAGGGGAACTTGAGGAGGAGGTGGAGCTGTGAGGAGGAGTTGTGAAGGAGACACCTCTGCAAACACTGAGGTTGGTGGAAGACAGGAGGAGGAAGGGAGAGACCCCCCCTGTATCCCGTGGGGAGATGGCAGGGCCACCCCCCTGCCACCCAGGGAGGTCACCAGTGGAACAGAGGCCGACCTGCAGCCCGTGGGGGACCCCACGCCGGAGCCCGAAGAATGCTGGGTCGCTGTGGGAAGCCCACGCTGGAACAGTTCGTCACTGGGAAGACTGCAACACGCAGGAGGGACCCACGCTGGGGCATCTCGAGAAGAGCTGCGGCCTGTGGGAAGGAGTCGTGTCGGAGAAAGTTCATGGAGGACTGTCTCCTGTGAGAGAGACCCCACGCTGGAGCAGGGGAGGAACGTGAGGAGTCCTCCCCCAGAGGGGGAAGGAGCTGCAGAGACAACGAGTAACTAACTGACCACAACCCCCATCCCCTGCCCCCCTGCACCTCCGGCGGGGAGGAGGTAGAGAAATTGGGACCAAAGCTGAGTCTGGGAAGAAGGGAGGGGTGGGGGGAAGGTGCTTTTAAGATGTAGTTATACTTCTCACTGTCCTACTCTGCTTGTTAAATTAACTGGTGGTGGTGTTTAAATTAAATTGATGTTCTTTTTCTTCCCCTAACAAGTCCGTCTTTTGCCTGTGACCATAATGGGTGAGTCACCCCTCCCTGTCCTTATCTCGATTCCTGAGCCTTTTGTTTTATTTTGTCCTCATCCCTGAGGGGGGAAGGGGTGAGTGAGCGGCCATCTCTGCGCTCACTTGCCCTCTGGGCTCAAACCAGGACACTGACAAAAGTGGGTCAGTCCACAGCAGCTGAGGATCCAGCCCCATGACTTTGAAAGAATTGTCATCTTACTGGCAAAACCAGGGAAAAGACTGTAACAGGATTTCGTGAGTGTAAATAATACCAAAGAGCAAATAAGAGGGGCTGGGGACCAAATAGGGTGGCTGTTCCATTTGCCATTTATTGAAATCTTTCTTTATTGGAATGTGCACCAATGTGGGCAAGCTGGCTTGCAGAGCCACTCAGGGATGTTAACGTTTTTTTACTACTGTTTAGTGTCTGTCACTGCAGTGGAGTTAGGCTCGTGAACAGTGCACCTTTAATAACAAAACTCCTGAGTTAATCTCCTTTAGAGGTCTGCATGGCATTACTAGCTATAATCTAACCCTTCCAGGTTACGGTAGATGCACTTATGGGCATAAAACCTTCTTTGGGAGAATTAGGTATTTTCTCATTATGCGTGCTAATAGCTTTTCACTGAATATCACCAAATTTCCGTGAAAATCTGTTTGATTTTCACTGGGAAGTTGCAGAGTTTACCCAGTCTGTAAGAGAAGATCTTAAGAATTTTCTCTAATGAGTTGTCCTCTAGCTACCTCTGAATTATGCAGGTGGGTTACCCTCTGATGGACTGATGGAAAATGAAAGCAGTCTGCCTTCAGAATAGGCAGATGCAGGAGGTGCGTGGGGAAGGAGATGCTGCAGCAGATAAGTCGCTGCTGTATGTGGAGCCATTTCAGGACAGTGTCCTGGGGGTTGAAGCATCCACCCATCTCCGTTCCTCTCTCTGCCTGCGGGACCTCGTTTACATGTGTCCTGGGAAAATGTGCAGCCTCTTGGGCTGACCACTGACCAGCAGCTTAGAAGATATTTAAGGTTTGCAAGGTTGCACCTAGACACCTGAAGTCTGAGCCCCGGGCAGCTAAAGCCTGTATTGGATCTGGTCTTTAGCCTCTGCGTCTCAGCTCCTTTGGGGAAAATAATGCTCCATTTCTCTGCCCTCATATGTCCAGGTTTAGCAAACCCTCCGTGAAAGGGACCTTCTCTTGCTTTGCTTGTCATGCTAATAATAAATAACCGCAGGACCGTAGTGACCGCAGCGAGAGGAGCTGTGAGTGCATCCCTAGCAGCAGCAGGCATCTCCTGCTGAGCAGGTGCCCCCTCATTGTGCCACAGATCCCTCACTGATCTCGTCCCCCACCTGGGACATTCGGAAATGCAAGGGTGACAGGGCTGTCTGCACGGTGGGTGCCCCGGCACTTGTCCTCCACCTCGGGAGGCAGGTGCTGACCAGTGCTGGCTACCTCGCGCTCGTCGCGAGGTGGATCAGGGAAATCAGGTCGCAGGAGAGATGGGTTGCAGCTTTGCCATCTGCAGAGGAGTCTGAGAGGGTCTGACATGCCGGGTCAGTGGCAGGTGTCCAAGGCACTGGGAGCATCGGAGGCTCTCATCCCTCCTGGATTATGAAGGACGAGGAGGACTCTGCTGGGAGACGATGTCTGCAGTCCAGTCTGCTGGGTCTTTCCTGCACCCAGCTGCAGCTGCAAACCAGTGTTGGCCTTGTGCTCCCCAGACACCGTGTTGCTGGAGTATTTGTATTCATAGAAACCTTTGTTGAGAACATAGCTGTGATTAGGTGCCAAACTCTGGAACACAGTAAATGGAACGAGGTGGTGCACCCCCCATTTCCCACCGTGGCTTGAGCATGGCCGTGGCAGAGGAACAAGGCGGAAGATGACATAGTGTTGAGTACTGTGAGCTCTTGGATGGCTGTGTTGTGAAAAACGGTCTCCGCTCCAAGGTGCAGGTGCACAGGACAGATCTGGAAGGGGTATTCCCTCCGTGTCCTAGAGAGCTGAGTTGTCCAAGGGCTCACTGACAGCTCGTGGCCATGCTGGAAGTGGAACTGAAGAGTCTCAAGTGCTTGAGACAAGGTGCTTCCACATTCCCTTTCTAAATAGCTCATCTCAGGTCCTGTGTGCCGTTCGGCTCAGGCAGCTGCCCAGCGCTGGAGAAAGCCCAGACTGATCTGTGATACTCTTGCCATCTAGTTTTGCTTTGGATTTAATTCACTGCTTTTCTTTTCAGAGAGTCGTTCGATGGGGCTTGGCTTGAAGAGGGGGCTGAAATGCCGTCGCACGCCCTGCATCTTGTGAGGGGAAATGTAATTAAGCCACCTACCTCTTAAATGCACAGCCTGCCTTTGAATAATCAGGGAAAGCCTCCAAAAGGGTTAAACACTTTATTTAGATGGCTTTGTTTGTTACGTGTGTGCTTTGCTTGTTCTGAGAATTAACGGAAGATAAGCTAAAAGTTCATTTATAAGAGTATTAAAGGATAATTATGATGGAGTAAATGCAGCAGGTCAAAAGGCATTATGATGAACAGAATCACAATATAGTGCTTGGGAAAATAAGCTAAAATGTACAATGCCTGACATCACTCACCGAACGCCATGGACAGCGTACTTTAATTTTCTCTCTGCTTCTTCATTCCCAGTCTGAATTAAAGTTTCATCCATCAGCACTCTGCTGTTCACGTACGAGCACGTAATGGTAATCAATTGCAGTAACTTAAACTTTTGGGCAGGCATAAATATGTGACCTTTTAATATCAACAAAATGATAAAAAAGATTTGGTAGGAAATCTGCTTCAATCAGATTAGAGGAGAAGTGGGTAAAGCTGATTACAAGCCCGCTAAACACAGTATTTGGGCAGTATTTGTTCAGAAACAATAGCGTTAATTCTACTTTAACAAGTATTATCTGGAAAATCAATAATTAATGGGAACCCATTATCAACTTGTAATTTAGCACAGAGATTAAGATGGGGGAGAAGTGAAAGCGAGTGGGCAACCTGCTTTTACTTGACCTGCCGGGCTGGTGGATTAGCGAGTGGCAGCAGGTTTCGTACCTTTTTAAAGGAGAGGTGGTGGAAATAAATCCAGCTGGGCCTCTTGCTCTTTGCCACCACCTCGCCCTCGTGCTTCCTCGCACTTTGCAGCCGGGTCACTGCAGCCTGGAGGACAGCGTCCTGGGTGGCGCTTGGCCCTGGGACGAGGGGGAACATCTCCCCCCCGAACCCCCGGGGCGCACGGAGAGGGGTGAACGGAGGGGACAGAGGCAGGGGGAGAGGTGCTGTGTGCGAACGGGTGCGGTCCCACCGCCTCGGCTTGGCTTCCCAAGATGTCCCTTAACATCCTTCTGCACCTCCCAGCCTCCTGAAGTGCCCGCTCCCGTGTTTTCCCCTCGACCAACAGGTCTTGGCAGCCACGTGTGCGAATGCACGTGAACGGCCAGATTTTCCTCAGCCAGCTCCTCCCTCCCCCCCCCCCCCCCCCGCCGTATCAGCTCTATTTGGGGAAACAACCTTATTTGTCCTCTGTGCTGTGTTGGGACTCAGAGGTCGTGGGCGCGTGGGCGGGCCAGAAGTGGTGCGCGCCCAACGTCGCTGGAGTAGGTCACGGCAACAGATGCCAAAGAGATAACGGTTTTGTGAAGGCAACACACTTCCAGAGGATACAGCTGTTCTGATCAAGGGTCTGTGTGTATGTACGCGTGTGCGTGCGTGCGTGCGTGCATCCCTCTGGGTATCTCTGTGTGGTTTCACTGAGGCCAGAGCAGGCTTTTAGAAGAGGAGCATTGCTGTCTGCTAAAGATCAGGCGGGCAGCAGTGAGCCGCTATTTACATCTCGCTGCTGGCCTGCCCGTTTCCTCCCACTGGGCAGAGGCTCTTTTTCCCCAGAGTCGAGTTACCTACCTGGTTTCGGGCAGAGCAAGGCGTGTTTTGTGGGCTGTAGTGGTTTAGCAGAAGAAGGGAGTAGAAGGAGACGGGCTGGGGACACTGGGAGGCAAGCAAGCCAGTGCTGGGGGGCTTGTGGAGCTCCTGGTGCGGCGGGACGTGGCTATAGGGACACCTGTGACTGGGATGTTCTTTGCCTTGCTCCAAGGCAATGGTCAGAATTGGGATCAAGGAAGACAAGCAGTGGCCTTTGGATAGGAGAGAGTCTGCGCAGGGATATCTCGTCTCTGTTAGCAGAGCAGTGGATAGAGCTGGAAATAGCGACGACTTGGCCTGGCCTCATGTTTCCCTCCAAGCCTGCCCTCACTCGCGGTGCGGGTGAAGGATGCCGGGACAGGAGGAGCAGCCCAAGAGCTCTTCTCCTTCTCCGCTCCCGCTGGCTGCGTCCTC